CGGTACTCCGCCCCAATCTCAATTAATCTCCCGTCCGCCAGATGAGAGATGAAATATTGAACGGTGTCAGGGGCTTTAATTACTTTATTACCCGAGATTCCGCAGGCTGAAGAGTGGAGTCGAAAAAAACAGTATCGAAGGCGGTGGCCTTAGCGGTACTTTGACTTAAGGGGCCGACAAAAAATTAACCAAAAGACAAATCGCTTACGCCCTCTCTACCATTTTGATTTTCCGGCCTTCTTCCTTCGGGAGGCCGACATAACAATTTAGTATAACGATATCTGTACAGCATATGGGTACTTAAATACGGGAGAGATATATGCACATGAAAAATAATTTAATTTATAACAAAGCTCAGTTGCAGGACATGCACAGTGGAACCAGGTTGGAAAGGATCAGTTAAAATCGATTATAATATCAATTATTATTGATTACACTATGCAGCATCAAAAATACCCATGGATGCTTTTTTGGATTCGTTACGAATTCCCAAGTTGAAACTGCGTTTTCCAAAAAGTTCCCCGACGCAACTTAGCAAAAGGACCTCAAAACTCGAAAAAAATAAAATTTTTTGGGGCTCTTAGAGGGAAATGGATGCATGGTTTGATTCAATGTTAAAGTTTTTTAAAAGATACACCTTTTATCTTTCAAACCCCATACTTAAAATAATTTTAGGATTTTTTTATGGCAGAAATAAATTCCAGAAAACATAACAAACAACTTAAAAAACATACAACTGCGGTCAAAATAGTAGTAGTGTTGCCGCCTTGTGTTTTTAAAAGTTTGTTGTTGTAATTGATCCCTTCCTGGTAATATTGTATTGATTATAATTTTACTATTAGACTTATTGGATAAAAAAAAGTTACAACATCAAACTTTTAAAAACACAAGGCGGCAACACTACTACTATTTTGACCGCAGTTGTATGTTTTTAAGTTTTTTGACTATGTTTTCTGGAATTTATTTCTGCCATAAAAAAATCCTAAAATTATTTTAAGTATGGGGTTTGAAAGATAAAGGGTGTATCTTTTAAAAAACTTTAACATTGAATCAAACCATGCATCCATTTGCCTCTGAGAGCTCCGCAAAGTTGGCCAATTTCACCATTTTTCGAACTTTGAGGTCCTTTTGCTTAGACTCCTTGCGTCGGGGAACTTTTTGGAAAACGCAGTTTAACTTGGGAATCCGTAACGAATCCAAAAATATAGCATCCGTCGAGGTAAATTTAAAAAACAGTAAAAATGCTGCACAGTGTTATTATTAAAATATTGTTAATCTTGAGATTTATGAATTATCACAAAACCGATAATATCAGTTAGTGAAATTAAAGTCAATTTAAACTACAAAAAAAAAAATGTACATATTTTGAATCCCCTATCAAGCAATGTAAAAAAGTCTCTTTCTCTCCCAAAGAAATCTCAAGAATTTTCCAACCATTCCCATGGCTTTGGCTCCACTGTCTCGTGTTTCAATGCGAAATTTGACGATGGCCACACAACAAATAAGCTGGAGCTTCTTGGACAGCAGACCGACGAAACCGGAGGCCACACACAAGAGGCGGATCCGAAAACCCCGAAATGGAGCCCGAAAAAATGAGAATTAATATGAAATGCTCTTGGGCTGGCTTGAACTGAGCTCTGAGCTCTGTGCTCCGAAAGCTGAGGCTCAGCTGTCAGGCTTGGTCAATGGAAAATTAATTAAAAACCCTGCCCATGAAATGGCTCATTACAATGATTACGAATATGAGTATGCGAATGGGAATACCAAATGCGAGGAGGAGTGTAGGAATGAGTCAGGGTACGTGCACTGCACAGCAAAAGGCGAAGACGAAGAATGCCTAGAACAAGTCGCACAAATTGATTGCGAAGAGAGTGGAGCATGAAGAATTGACCCACTGTGGCCGAGACGACTATGGAGAATTGGTATAACTGCGCTTTGCTCGGCTAACTGTGGCAAGACCTCAATCCAGATACAAAACGCCGCTTGGCACGCTCGCAGCTCTCCGTTCTCCATTCTCCGTTCTCGGTTCTCAATTCTTGGCTCTCAATTTTACAGCTTCGATTACCAGCGATTCGATTTGTTCAAAAGGCCCCCAAAAGCAAAGCGGCCTGTTGGCCAATTTGTTTAATTACTGTAACTCTTATCAAGAGTGAGAGTTCCAATTTGTTTAGACGGGGAAAGTTGCCAGTCAATGAACTGAAAATCTCTTCTAGGAGAAATGAGCCAGGGGAAAAACCTTCACAAAGAACTGAATGCAAAGAACCAAAAATAATAAACTCTTTTCATGTTGAAAAATGAATGGTCGTTATATACTTTTTATAGAGTAACCAAACGATCTCTTGTACAATAAATTAAAGGTAGTTTCAGATTGTAAATGCTGGTGTAAACCTTATCACAAACCCAAAAACCAGCCACTGATGCAAATATTTACATGAAAGGCCCGATAAGACACGATCTAGAAAACTGTGTAAACTCATAAAGTCAGTTGTAAACGCTTATTTGCTTTGATAAACATAAGATAAATGCTTTGTTTCCAACCAGATTGTATGAAAATTCGAGGGGATTTCCATGGCAATGTGTTCCAGTTAGTTTGGAATTTCTTTGGACTTAAGCTGCTGCATCCCATTTCCATGGGCAACGCCCCTGCCCGGAAGCTTTCAACTGGCGGTGTTGCAACTGGGTAAATGCAGCTACTTTTACTTTAGACCAATCTCTCGCTCTCTTTTTTTTCTTAGCTGTGCTTGCATAAGATACTTGTTGGGGAACGGGCATAGATGCATGGATACACGCCCCAAATAAACCACTAAACCGGTGACACCACGCCACTCCGCCTCCGCAGCACCCGGCTTCGTCTCCAAGTTCCATCCATTCCGAGCCCCATAAGTTCCATCCACTCCAATCCAATCCACTGCCAGTCGGGGCACCGCGGGCCGCTAATTCAAACAAATTGCAGCATAAATGCATTATAAAAGGCAGAGGAGCTGCATCGGGCGACACAGTGTGACAGTAATAATGTCACTCGCAGTCAGAAATGGACGATGGGGCGGGCTGCGAGGTCTGATATGGATATGGATATGGATATAGGTGGAATAGGGAATACCGAAGCGTGAATGCCAGTGATAAATTAGCTAGCTTCAGCGGGCTGGCCATGTGTGGGCACAGTACAGTGGTCAGCAGGGAATTGGGCGGAACTCATTGGAAACTATGAAAACGTTTATAAAATTATAATTGTATAGTTTATTAAATAAAACTATGGGAATAAGTTAAATCTAAGCAAGTATGAATTTATCTCTTAAAAATATTACTAACGTTGGTAAAACGATCAGGGGCACTATCGATACTATCGATGATTTTAATCGCAGTAAAATGTATATCCTTTTTTTCAAGCATAAACTTTCAACAAAATTTATTTATAATTTCTCCTTAGGTTTTTGCCATTTGTTATTTATTTTCTTTACCTTCCGATAGAATCGATAAAACCGATAGTGGCCAGTACCGACAGCCAAAACTACGGATGGTGCTCACTATAGATGTTTTCACAACCCTATTTTATTGGGATAAGTAGATAGTACATCTTTCAGTACCCATTAAACCACTAGTAATTTAAGCATCATTATCTAACATCGAAGAGTTTTATACCATGTTAGGGGATACATTTCAACCCCATGACGCATTTGAAAACCCATTTAAAAAACTAAATGGGAGACACGCTGTTTTCAGATCACTTCTGCAGGTCACTGAACCCGATTGAACCAGAATTCTTGTCTTGCCCCTTGCAGTTAATTGATTGTTCTACTCCATTTGATAGGCTCTCGGCGATTGCTCATTTATGGCACAATCGCGGCATACTCATGGTAATGGTTAATTACGCTGACGATCTGAATCTGGCCCACTGTGCCGCATTGCAAGTTGCTAGTAGTTGCAAGATGCAACTGCAACTCGGTGGCAGACAAGCAAGTGTTTTGTTGTAGTTGCTGCTGCTGATGTTGCTGCAGCTAATTTGATTAATGATCAGCCGGGCTTAACTGACGACGATTGTGATTCATTATGTGCGCACAAGCCGGCACACTTAGCACAGCAGATACAAATGCAGATACATCGAAGGTTGGGGATCTGGATCCGGGGGTACTACATACATATATACATATCTATCTAGCTATCGGTAGCGAAATTTCATTAAATAGATTAGAGGGGCGAATCACAGAAAGAACACTACTTTATTGGGACGAACAACAAGTGGTCGTTGTTAGGCGAACAGTGGATCGCTCTTTGGTGCGTAATTGAAGCCGCAATTGAATTCGCACTGCTACTGGCTCTATGCTCTATGTTCTATGCTATCTGCTAGATACAATTTCGCTGCTCTTGATTACATGCAATGAGGCATTTCCTCTACAGCTCAACAGCTCACTGACTGCCTGACTGACTCTAAATGCAAGCAGTTCAATGGACGGGGGCCATAACATTCTGAAATCGCTCTTCGGGCCATCCAGCATTTTGTGGTCGGTTGGATCACCTCATTTGGGCTGAAACAGAGCGGCCGACTTTATTGCAGTGGAAATGGCCACATGTGGCGAGGTGAGTTAAGTTAATAAAGTGGCAGAAGCGAGATGTGTAATTAGACTATACCATCGATATGGGGCTGGGCATGGGCTCCCCGGATCAAAACATTTCTGCCTTGGGTCGGTTTTAATTGGGAAAAACTTTTATGTAGGTACTGGCTTTTATTGGAAAAATAATTACACATTTAAAAATGTTAACGAAACTTTTTAGTTCTATCCTTTCCTCTAGATTGCCTCTTTAGGATAGTTTATTGTTAGCGGATATTGTACTTCCAAGGGAGGCAGCTAAAAAACCCAGTAATAATAATAACATAAAAACAAGTAGTACTGCTATAAAACCAAAAAATCTTATGTACTTTCAAAGAATATTATAATTTAGATTAAAAAAAATATTGCTAAAAATGGATACGTAAGATATAAGCTAAATAATATTATGAACCTAAGAAACCCATTTTATAGATACAGAAAACAATTCTAAAATTTCTCAGGCCAACAGCAACCAATTTTGTTAATTTATTAAACAGTATTTTCATTGTTTAGGGGGCTATATTCCTTGGATGTCCTTTTGTATTTGCCGCACTGAAACATTTTCATAGCTGTTATGGTTTTGTTACTGCCAGCAAAGTAAATTTAACTTGAGGGTAGAAGGATCTATTATCCGGCCGCCTTCCTGGCCTTTTCGGCCTCCTTCTCGGCCTTCTCCTTCTCCTTTTGCTTCTCCTTTTCGGCCTTCTCGCGCTCCTTGCGCGCCTTTTCGCGAGCCTTCTCGCGCTCGGCCTCCTCCTTCTCGAGCTGCGCCTCCTTCTCCTTCCGCTTCTTTTCGCGCTCCTTGTCCCTCTCGGCCTGAATCTTGGCCTTCTCCTTGCGGATCTTCTCGCGCTCCTTCTGCTGCTCATCGAGCCGCTTCAGTTCGTCCTTTTCCCACAGCTCGAAGGCCCCGCGCTCGGCGGCCAGGCGCTGCAGCTCATCCAACTCGGCGTCGGTGATGCCACCGTCCATGTCGCGCTGCATCAGGTCCACCTCTCTTTCCATCGCCTCCTTGGCCCTGCGGCGCCGCACGCCCAGCTCCCTGGCCTCCACCGCGTCCTGGTGGCGCTCCTCGCGCGCCTCCTTCTCCTCCCGCCGACGTTGCTCCTCGATCTCGAACTCCTCCATCTCGTCCTCGGTGTAGGGATACTCGGGAATGGTCCAATTTAGACATAGGATACCTGAGTGAGCATGGTTTAGTTCGCAGAATAAAACGATCGATAACTCAATATATAAGTATCGAATATATCGTAACTATCGAAATAATCGCGTTTTGATAAATTACAAAATTAAATGGATTGGAAAGAAAATCAGAGCATTCCTCTTTATAACCCTTTAGTACCGATCAGAAATCAACCTAATTCGATATGACATTGGTGCCTATTTGTATTCATACCTGAAGAAAGAGCAAAACCCACGGTTCCCCCAGCTGCCAGAACGCCGGACAGCAGGATGAGATTGTAGCGGCCGTTCTTGGCCGACCAGGCCTTCATGAAGTCGCCCTCCGGCTTTGGGCAATCATTGAGCGTCGCGTGCTGACCGCCACTGGCAAAGAAGCCCGGCTTCCGCTTCATATCCTTATCGCCCCCGGGACACTTGGGCGGCTTGGAGGATTTCGGAGGCGGCGCCGCAGTGGCCTTGACCACTTTGGGTGGCGCTGGCGGCTTCTTTGCAGCCATTTGTTGTGGGCCAGTGTTGTGAATCAACATCTGGCCAAAGCGAACTGGGAGTTCAGGGAGGTTTTATCCAAGGACTTGGAATCTATATATCTATAACTCACATCCCCTTTGGAGCCGCTCTTTGGCCGTTACTAAAAATCGGGACATGGTTCTTGCTCGTCACTTCACGCGATTCCTCTTCTGGACCTTCGTGGTCTTGGGAAACAATGATTTCCTTAGCCAAGTGTTTGTCTACTAAAATATAAAATTTTATCGAGGGACGAACTTAAAAATCTCAAATCGATTTCAAAATCAAATGTTGCTGAGTTAAGCCAAAAGTCTTTATTCATTTGTATTGGCCGCTCTAAGCACAAAACACAAAAATATTCACTTTAAAAACTTTTAAACTAAAAAATTTGCATATAGCCTATCATTCTGAGAACAAACCAGACAACATGCAAAAGAAATCACTTGAAAAATACTTAAAAAATTAAAAACAATTTTTTCAAAAGTAAATATTTTTCTCAAAGTTATCTAATAGATAGATGACAGACTACTTGATCAGGCATAACAAATTTAATTTCCGCGTAAAATAACTTTACACTCCTTCATATTAAATGATCTCTTAAGGTTTTCAAGTTATGTGTTTATAGGTAAACAAGAACACTTTCCGAGTACTGCTAGATCTTCAAATCAGTTTACCCGAATTCTACCAAAATGCAGTGAACCACATTTTAGCAGACTGCACTTGGTGGTGATAACAAGCGAGATACACAAATGTACAACTAGAAAATCGTGTACGATAATTTACACAACGGTTTTCGTGTAAGACACAAAAGCTGTGGCGATAAGAATAACATAACCCCAGAGTGGGGGCCCCCAGAATAACCAAGAACTGAAGACTCAGAACCCCCACACCCCATTAGCATGTTTCGGAAAGAGAATTTCACGGAAATTTATGATGCCCAAAAGAGAACACACCTCGGAGAAGGTGTCACGTGCGCTGTCAAAAATCGGTTGGTCGAGACGAATGCATAATAAAGAGTGGACAGCCGGGCAGACAGACGAAAAGTGGTACGCCGATAAAGAAGCTAAGGCTAATCGCAGAATGCAGAATGCGGTCAACAAACTGGTTCTGCTGATCTCGACCAGCAAGTGGGTGGACTCCAGTCGCGTCGAGTGGGTGAAATGCAATTGGAACCATGAAAATATATAGTTTATTCAGTAACCAATCATAGTGAACACACAGAACACAACGATCAGCGAAGGGGTCGCAGAGGACCTCGTTTGTAGAGCCGCTTCCTCTTCTTGATGTCACGGCGGATGGCCACTATCGAGATGATTATGAATCCCAGATAGACGACGGCGGCCACAAAGCATCGGATGGACACTTCGAGGTAGGCCGCGTCGGCCTGCTCCTGAAATTCCTTCCGACTGTTGAAGTGGTGGGGCAGGGGCAGGGATTCCAGCAGATTCAGTGACCGGATATAGAAGAAAATGCCCAGGAGATTCAGCATCACGAAGGCCCAGCAGCTCATGAACAGGCAAAACAAACAGCACTTTCGGCCACAAACCATTTTCGATTCTATTCGGTTATATTCGATCGGAACTTTGTGCGACAGTGTAGGCGAGTGTTGCTCTGACCGCAACAGGTGCCAAGTTTAAGCCGACTTCGAAAGCGAAACCGAAGTCGGAATGTGTTGGACCTGCTAGATATATTGCTAAATATATATATACAAGTACAGCCTTGTGCGATTTCAGCGGCATTAGATCTGAGTGGTCGGATTATTGAGTTCAGATACCGGTACCTCTCGTTTTCGATGGCGTTGCGGTTGGGTTTATTCAACTCGAAATGGTATAGTTTCGATCTGATCCATTGATGGACAGCTGACAGATTCAGTCTTCTATACCACTTAAAAAACTATATGAAACAAATATGACAAAACAATCTCCTTAAAACAAGATAAGTTTCAGAACTAGCTCCAGCTACTCCAATTTCCCGTATTTTTAAAGCTGGTTGCTTCAACTTGCTAGCATTGAGTGCTTATATTAGCACATAAGTCAACAATGTATTTAAAGTTATAATTTAAAGAATAGAAAACTCAATATTTAATAGGTTTTCATTGATCTTAACACCATTAAACATATTAAACAATATACATTGCATTACAAGTAAGCATTTGAAATATAAATAGAGCTTAAAAAATAAAGCGTTTAATTTTAATTGGATTACTGTTCTTTTGTCTGCATTTTCTTTTTATATTACAAGTGCTTCAAGCAAATGTGGGCCATCCCAAATATCTGATTAATCAAAGGGCACACATCGATTTAGATTTCTTTCGTGATTCATGCTTAAGATATTGTGCTTAAAATAGCTTACCAAATAACCCAGCAATAATTAGCACAACTTACCTCGAATGTTTTGCGTTCACAAAAAATCCGCAGAGCCACTAAATTTTCTGTCGCGGTTGCAAAGAAGAAGCAGCAGAAGAATCCACAATAAAGTTTTTACCAGTTTCTCGAAAATCCGTTACAAAACATCAAGTTGTTGTGAAAATTCGTAAGTCGTTTTCGCGGTTGCTAAACTTTTTTACACTGTGTTGTTTTTTTAACGTTTTTCTTTTTATTTTGTTTGTTTATGAGAATTGTTGTTAGTTTTATGGGTTACTAAACATTTTGAGAGAGAAATCAAGAATTAGGAAAATTATTGATTGATAAATTAATTCAATTTTTTCAGCACATGTTGCAACTTGAGTCAAAAGGCCTCAACTCTAATTGAGTAAATATGTTTTTGGTAACTTAAGCTGCGAATTTCGTAGAGCCCCAACAATTTGGGTCAAGTCCATTAGGCTAAAATACGATCCCCAAGCGAAAGACCTTGACATTAGGGCGTTTGCTCACTGAACTTGGTAATATCTTAAGTGTCTCGAATTCCCCTTTGCACAAGTCAATCAACCTGTCTTTATCTGTATTTCCCTTACGAGTGCACAGAAGAAAAAGCCAAGAAGAAATATGATTGTATCTGTATATTAAATTTCTTAAATGTTCTGAAATGTTTTCTAAGTCAATTTACCCCTTATATCTTTTAAATGTTACTTTATATCAGTACACTAATTTATTGAATAATAGACTTTAAGTTTTGAGGAGATATAACATCACATTTTATGATTTTTCAAATTTTAAGGTTTAATTTCTTTTAAATTTAATTAAATAAAATTAAAATTCACAAACGATTGCTTTCTCGACTGATTGTTTTTCCAGTGTGGAGTTCCAGTTACAGTTAAATGATTGTTATTTGCCTTATTTGCTTAGCACATTCTTCATTGCAATTGCACACACACTTGTTTCGTATTTCTGTTTATGTTTTAGTTTAAAGCGCAGTTATCGTAATAATCAGTACAAATATTTCGATGGAAAAAAAACAGCAATTTCATCAAAGTATAAATGCTTAGCTTTCAGTTGGGCTTTTCTTGAAGTTGTTAGTGTATTCAGTGAAATTCATTTGTGCTTTCTAAAAATAAATTCTCCACTGATAAGAAAAATATCATTTTTTGCATAATTCACTTCATACTTTTTGTTCCTTTTATATTTTTACTGCGTTTTTAACATGATTTTCTTTCTTTCTTTTAGTTTGCACTTTGAAGCACATGCTTAAACATAACACTGTATTGTGACTGTGTTTTTAAAAAACCGGTATGCAAATCCAAAAATCACTGATTCAAAAACACTGAAATTATTCAAAACTATTCAGTTGAATGTATTGAATTCTTCGTGCACCTTTTCTTCTAATTTTCGAGTTCGATGCGACCGCCGCGCTGCGAAAACAAAGATTGAGCAAGAGTTTTGGTGCGCACTGGCTTAAATAGTTGGGGCTCTCGCTCTCTCACCAAACGCACAGTGGTACAGGTAGCATAAAGTAGGAGTCCACAACATGACAACATTTATAACAATATTGAACTTAGGTATTGTATAGTACTGACATAAAACTATATATTTGTAAAGCTTTTTTTATCCAAGTTTGAAGGAAACGATTTAATTAACTTAATATTTATCAAAAGTAAACCAAATATTTCTTTAGTTTTAAAAATAAAAAACAAGTTTTCTAACAACAAAGATAACAGAATAATGACCAAATGAAAAGGGGAATAACATTACGTGTATCCCAACATACAGACCACTTTTCTGTATATTATAATGCCACACCACTGTGCTGTCCTCTCTGTCATTGTTCTCTTTCACTCAAATGACGACTCTCAGAGAGCAACAAGTGGGGGCAGTGTCGCTCACAAAAAGCTCCCTGCTACGACACCACTCTCCATATCGCTCTTGTTGTGGGTGTTAAACACCTTAGGAAGAGAGGAGCATAGAGTTTCACGGTCCATTGAGTGAAAGAGAAATAATATGAAATATGGGTCTTATTAAACCATATATTTTCCTTGCTTATTTTAAAACACAATTAACAACAAAGAATACATTTTAAGAATCTTTAAAGGCCTTTTTTTTTTATTCTTACTCTTATTTTATTTTTTTTTTTAAAGAACTAAATTAATAAAATTATTATTATAATTATTATTCATTCTCATATAATTAATTTAGAGTTATAGTCTATTTTGTGGGGAGAATTTAAATCTCTTTTTGAGCCTTTGTAAGCTTTAGTTCTAAAATAAAGTCCCGTAATTATGAACTCCCTAAAGGGTATGCAACTCAATGAAATTTCAGTCTCGGTCTCCTGCACTTAAATTGAAATGCAATTATAATGCCCGCTAAATTGGATGCATTATGAGTGCACTCAATAATCAGATGGGACAGTAAATAGGTTTACCAAGTGGTTTAATAAAGTCGGTCACTCAATTTCATGCACTTAATGTCATAGGTAAAGGGCATGTGAAGGACAACTATTGCCCGCGGCCGCTGAAGCACCACCCACTGAAACAAAGCCCACCTGTTGGGCGGTCACTTCTCAATGCAGTCCTTTTGCCATTCAAATTTCGTGTAAAGGGCAAAGTGCACAGGGAAGTGTGTTTTCACTCTTATCTCCCAGTGACAGCTGAATAATTTTATATCATATTCATGTGGTAATGCACTGGAAAAAAATTTATAGATTTAAAGATTTTATTTATGAAAAGAAATGGGAAACGAACAATAATTTAGACAAAGTGTATTTCAATGTAATACTTCTGCAAATAATTTTCTAGAATTTATGGTTAAATCTTTCAGAAATCTATACATTTAAAAGTTTGTTTAAATTTAAGAGAAAGTTAGTGTATTCCAGGTTTTTTCTTTCATTACTGTTCTTCCTTACAAAAACTTCCTTACAAAAAATGGTTTGGTGCAAAATATATTTAATTTATCATTTGTTGTCAGTGTATTTACTGTAGTAAATTCTGTTCTTGACGAACACTTTCCTTAGTTAACGCTTTGGGCTTCCCACTCGTTGGCCAATTAAAGCCCAACATTTATGGCAAATTAATCGTGGTCGCTGAGAGCTATTTAAGTCTTATTAAAAGCAGATCTGCGTTTGATTCCGTTTCATTCTGTTTGCTACCGAATGGGCCAAATCGGCTTAATAAGGCCGGCGATTGATGTGGGATCAAGGCGTACTATCGATTACCCAAATTGGCTAACAAAAGCATTCGCATCGCGGATTTCCGCTCCCAAGCTACTAGAATTTCCAAACTATCCCTACTCGATCATCAAGTGGCGTCTCAGATCAGAAGAAGGTCATCCGATACCGCCGCCAGGATGGGAAAAGGGGGCAAAGCGCCCGAGTTTACCGATTAGCATGTTAAACCAACGGTTCGCGGCGGCTGCTTAAGGTCTATAATTAAGCGACATAAACTTGGGTATTAGGCGCTAAATACACAGAAAAACAAAAGAAAAAAAAAGTAAAGCTCTCGAGTGGGAGAATACAAAGGAAGAAGAGGAGGAGGGGGAGGTGGTGCGCCTCTTCTCGATTTGCATAACTGTTCGTTTGGGCCCAGAAGTCGGGGGATATGGATATGCCATGGTTCTGGGTTTGGGCCTGGTTATGGGTATTGGTATTGGTTATACTATTGGTATGGGCTGCATTCGAGAAACAGACGGACGGCAAATGAAAACGGAGGCAAACACACGCACACACCTGAATTTACCTGGGCACTGCACCTGTCCACATAAGCGACGTCTACGATGGGCTTTCATTTGCTGCTAAGAAAGAGTAAACAGCGCGCGTCGCTTCTTCCTACCAGAAGGTATTCTAAATACCACAAAAAGAAAGTATTTTAGACTTCAAACACAGCTTGGAATTGTTATGGAACTAAAGCATTTTAAAGAGAAGAAAGTAATTTACATAGTTTTAAAAATCTTAAATTAAAAACCTATTATTGCAATTAAATACAATCTTAATTTACATTTCAGACCAAAATATTAAGCAATTGACAAAATATTTGAATTTTGAAAATAAATTTTTAGTTTTTCTTTAATAATAATCTGAGACCCTTTAAAAAAATAAAATATTTCTTATATTCTATTAATTTTAGAGCATTACTAATTCGTCATTCTTCGCAGTTAGTTTTACTTTCTTCATTCTTTTTTTTTTTTGTAAAACACAAAAGAATTTCCATCAATAATGTCAATAGTGCGCTACAACAACAACATTAACACCACAATAACAACAAATGCAATGGCAACAACACTAAGACACTCCTTTTGGCTTTTGCCTTTGGGCTCTTCTACTTCTACTCTGGCCAAGACGAATTATGGCCATTAAAGCTGCTTGGGGTTTTAAGTTATTAGGCAACTTGAATTTCAAACTGCACTTGACAAACGCACAAATAAAAAAAAAAAATCTCGAGTGTGCAGTCACACAAATGCAGTGGATGGTGAGTAATTAAGCAGTTAATAATCCAGGCTTAAAAGTTTTAATTAGTTATTGCACTTCTTTTGACCCTATTTAATCTCAACTTTATTTTTGTTTTACTTAATTTCTCACAAATCACTTGATATGCAAAAACTAAAAAGGGGGCGATTCTTCAGAAAACGTGTTTAAAATTGGATTTTAAGGTCAGTGCTCAGCGAAGTCCATCCATTTAACCCTCCCACTTGTTACTCTGTTGAATTCCCAGGGGAGCAAACCGGTGACCGCCATTTAACCCCTTTAAATCGTCGACACCCCAAAGCTGTGTTGTGCATACATACGTCATTAACTTCAGTGACTTTGATCTAAATTTATTCGAGTCTCTTGTGGCAGCTTTTTCTGTGGAAATGCTGCGAAGGGCAATCGATAAAAGATGGAATAGTTGAATGAGAGTGAGATTAAAATTAATTATTTAATTTTAAAGACTTCCCATGTTCATGGTTGGAAAAAAGGTTCATTGTCGTCTTTTTTAATCAAGAAAAATTAGATATCCATTCTTTAACTTTACTCTAGCTGTTATATTTAGTAAAGTAATATAAATTTCTGTTATTGTTTGAACTATCAAAATTTGTAAAGAAAATAGATCTATTATCCTTTTTAACTTTTAAACATATATGGTAATTTAAGGCGTTGTGTTAACTATTTTAAGCTTGTTAATCAATAATAAATAAATACAAATGTTTTCATTTTGTACTTTATCTCTTTTAACACTATTAAGCACTAATGTATTTATTTTCAATTTTTTTCAAATTATTAACTTTTTTACATGATAATTACATACATTTATGTTTTACGCCATCTGTTGGCTTTGAAATGTTTTCAGAATATCTGTCAGATGGCGCCACTTAACCAAAAAAGCTAGATTTAAGTTAAAGCTTAAAGCAAACCAGTTTAAACTTAAACCGAAAAACATAAGAATTAATCATGAATATAAATTATTTATTAAATTTACACATTTGTAAGGATATTAAAAGAAACCATTATCTATATAATTATTTTGGAACTGCATACATCAGCACTTAACCATTTCACTTCATCTTGACCATTACCAAGGCAGAAACCGTTTCACAACCGACCACCTCGCTGCAGTCATCCCATAAATAAGACACTTACCACGAAATCCTGTTGACGAAAAACAAACAACAAGGCGAGAAAATCGCCAGCAATTCATGGAGTGGAAACTGTCATTGGTCCGCTTTTAGTTGGGATTGCCAAATGCAAAATGGCTTCGAGATACAGAAAGAAAAATGTATCAGTAAGGATTTGATTTTTCAAATTAAGATTAGGGATATTATCTTACAACGCATTCATAATGGGTGAGCAAAAGACATTAAAACTATTTTCATACATTTTAAGGTTTTAATTTAAGGCTTGTCTTTTAAATCTGACAATATCTACCCATCTTTAAAATTACAATATATTTAAGTAAAAATGTGTTATCTTAAAAGGATAAAAATCTTCTCTGTGCATTTCAAAAATTCCCAGTCACGTCAAAAGCGAGGCTTGAAGTTTGTCAGCTCCCAAATCCGAAATCCAAGTCCATTTCCATGTCCACCACGATTCATTCATTAATTCAGGCAAAGCGTCATAAATGCCACGCGGTTTTATTTTGGTCTTTTTTCAGGCTGCTTGGTTTTGTCGTTTGTTTCTGATTTAATTAAGCAGCGTTTTCCATTTTGCAATGTTTTTCTTGGCCGTTCCGTTCCGCGAAGCATTTGCAAGTCAAATGCAGTGGCGTTAATTAATTGAATGGATGAAATAACGCATACGCAGCGTGCGCCGCGAAGAATTCAGCGCTTGCGGGCCATTGGGCAATCGGCTCGAATTCTCATCCATTCTGTGACCAGTGGCTAATTAGGCCCGTCATCCAAAATCCGCGGCATTTTGCACCCATTTTGGAGCGCACGCCGCCCGATCGCCAAAAGCGGCTAAAGACTTGGCTCTCGAACTCGAAGCCAAATAAATAAAAAGAGGGGATCGGATCGCCGAGTGCCGAGCGCCTTAAATCGGCATTAAGTGTGTGGCAATTTGGCATTCGAGTTTGCCACCCTTCTGGCCCGATCGATTGCTGGAAAATTGCTTTCCACCTGGCCAAAATGTGGGGCAGTGGCTGGGAAATCTTTTATTTATAAAGCGAGGCGACACCACACCAACCACATCGATCTGTCCGCATCTGTCCGCATCGAATTGGACATGGAACACTTGTTTGGCAGTCGCCGACCACTGGCAACAATTGCTGCTATTGACTTAATATTTGCTAATAGATTTCACATAAATCACATTCCACTGGCATGATTTATGCATGAACTCCGATCGCAGGTGACTCTCTGTCTCTTTCCTGCCATCTCGTGCTGTCTTTTTCTCTTTTTGTGCTAAGTATTTTCGAGATGTTGTTGTTGTTGCTGGTGTTGTGTTGTTTTTGAGGCCTGTTAAGAGGAAACTCCGTTAAAATGCTTCAAGTTGCATGCGCCAATCTGCAACTTCGTAACTTAACTTATGCTGACTTTTGGTGCCATAAAGAAAATTAATATTTTCCTTGGTTTCCATATATTGCTTTCAGGTCTCATCAAAGTTGTTAAATAATTTAATCAACATTATCAATGCCATGTATTTTTATAGATACGAAAGTATTTCATTTAACATATTAAATGGGGCAACTTTTTATAAACTATATGTATTTTTTCGTACAAGAATTTCAAAAATAACCTACATATATTCTTTACCAATTAGGTCCTTTCAACCAACATTCTGATAAACTTACTTAACTTAACTTGTGCGTGAATATTTAAACTATGTAAATTGTCATAAAAATTATATTATTTTACAGAATCTTATTTATTACAATATTATCCATTTGAATGATCTAAAAGTGACGACAAATTTATGTTTTATTTTGATCTTAAATTTATTTAGCAGTCGAATAACTCACAACATCTTTGATTTGAGATAAAAACGATGAAGAGATTTGTAGAATTATTAATTTTTTGATTATACAAGGCCACTGCTGCCTTGTCATAGCTATGTACCCCCACCCACCCCATGGGGTTGATCAAGGCGGCAATAAAAAAAATCCCACGAGCTGCCAGATGCTCAACCGGCGATTTCAGATTTCAGATGGAGAAGGGGATCGATGTAGAGCTGGAACTGGGGAACTGGGCCTCTATTCGATCCAATCGATCCCCCTCTCTACGCACAAGTGTCCTCGAGACGAGACGGCGTGGCTGCGGCTGAAATCGCCCATCCAATATGGTCAAATGTGGCACGCAGCGGCATTCGAGGCACGATAAAGATAAATATGAAGCTCGCCTAGATATTTCGACCAGCCTGGGGATTGTTTGATTTTAGTTTGGCGTTTGGCGTTCGCCGATTTGGCAAGCGTTCATTATGCAATTTGGGGAGAATTTCCCAGCGACACCGAGAATTGTTTCGAGAATACACGAAATACAAAGCATCGAAAGCAATTAGACGGCATTCTCCGTTGGCTAATTAAGTTGTTTGGTGGCAAGGCTGGATGTTTGCGATGGGCGTGGTGAGTGGAGCTGTCCAAAACTGGCCGGCTAATCAGCGATTTCAATTAGCGCGCGCTTTCCCAATTCGAGGCACAATGTGGAGGCACCCCCAGTGGAAATGCCGCCTTTCCTGCGACCCTTCGGGCATGGCGCCTTCAGATCGGAGCACAAAGTCAGGTCCTAGCCTCCTCCTAAACACAGTTGAGGTCGCGCATCCCTTGGGGGCTCCCAACTTCCCAAATTGGTGCTAGCTTCCTCGCTTTTTACTCTTAACTCTACTGTTTCCGTCCGTCCGCAGCAAGCTCATCGAAATCCTAACCACCAAAAAAGTCCTGAGGTAAACTGCGTCACTCCCTAGGATCAATTTTTGGGGCAATTTGCTCTCCAAATAGTGTCAAAGTACACCGCGTTTACGAAAAATGTATTTGATACTAAATGTGTCATTTTCAAAAACTAGGTTCAGCCGATCGATCCCAATAATTATCATTTTATTTCAAATTCGAGTCGGCGATGTTTACTTGGCCTCGATTTTGTTTATACTTTCAAGACTTCGCTCGCCAAACTGGTTACGATGGCCCAGTTTGTCAGGCGTCCGCCTTTGAGGTCCCCGGTTTGTAACCCAGATAAATCAGAGTAGGAAAAAGCTTTTAAGATCGAAAATATCATTTTAAGAACAAAAATTATTTGTTAAATTACATAAAAAAAATTGTCCGCGAACCTCGTCCCCCGAGCCAAAATAATGTCACACTAGTCCGCCCCCCCTTTTATTTCCAAAATGGTTACAGAGCTTTCAACAAATGTCAAATTTTATTTAGTACTAAGAAATGAGTAAGCTAGTGGCTCTTTGTCTGCCAAAAAGGGTCAAGTTAATATTTTCGAAAGTATTAAAGTGACACCAGAAAGGCAATTTAATGACGTTCAGATCAAGTTTTTCCACTCAAAGCACATGACACCTAAATAGGGGCATAACTACTTTTTTGGGTGTTCAAGTCTGTCCCTCGTCCACCTGTCCACTGTCCTTTAACGTGATGCGTGGTCTTGGTCTCCGGCGAAGTAAAATAACGCAATGCAACCATTACGTTGCAATCCCCCCCAAGTGATTCGTACTCCAGCGCTAGCATGAAACTTCTGGTGAGTGCGAAGGATCGGATTAGGATAATCAGATAAAGCATATAGGACTGCCTAACTCGAACAATCTAGTTAAGATTCAGATTAAAAAGTGTGGTTTTGGATCTTTAGTTGTCACAATTCTTTTGAGGATAGTGATATTGCATTAGAACTTTAGTTGGTAATTCATTTGGTGAAAATTTAACTGCAATACGGATCAAGTTGATCAGATTCCGCATATTGGAAAACATTATTTATTTACATTTTTAATTTAGTTGGTTAAGGAAGAGTGATTAACTCGGAAATTTTTTAAGAGATCCACGATTCAATATGTACTTTTCAGCATATTTTGCCTAATTTTTTTTAATTTGATTTTTGCATTAACTTTTAGTTGGTAATTAAATGTGCTGAGAAAAATTAATCAATAATCATGTTGTAATCCGTTTTAAAACAAAGTACAGTCAAGGATCAACGGAATATTACTTTAGTTTACTGATTCTCAATTAATTCCATTTTGTGTAATATAAAACTTTGGAAAATGTAGTTAAGACCTATTTTAATTTGTTACCATTTAGTTATATTTGTAACCCCGATTTTCTCACCAGATCCTCACCACTTTGCTGGCTGCCGCCAATGCTGCTCCTGGACTCCTTGACTATGGACATTCGGCACCGGACTACAGCTACGCACATGCTGCTCCCGCCATCACCTATGCGGCTGCAGCTCCAGTGATCAAGTCGTATGCCGCTCCCGCCATCACCTATGCTGCTCCCGGCTCCAGTGATCAAGTCCTACGCTGCTCCGGCCATCAGTTATGCCCATGCTGCTCCGGCCATCAGCTACGCCGCTCCCACGGTGGTCAAGTCCTATGCTGCTCCCGTGGCGGTGAAGGTGGCTGCTCCGGCCACCAGCTACTCGCACTTCAGCTCGGTAAGATCTGGATCTCCTACTTAGAATATAGGGTACCTACTAAGCACGATTTTACATATTTTACAGGTTGTTTCCCATGCCACGCCCATTGTCAAGTCGTACGCCGCTCCGGCCATCGCCTATGCCGCTCCAGCTCCCGTGATCAAATCCTACGCAGCTCCGGCCATCAGCTATGCCCATGCTGCTCCCGCCATTAGCTACGCTGCTCCCACGGTGGTCAAGTCCTACGCGGCTCCAGCCATCAGCTACGCAGCTCCTACTCTTCTGAAGTCCTACGCTGCTCCGGCCATCTCCTTGGGCGGCTACGATGGTCACGGCTACGGCTACCACTAAGCTCTGATACCAAATCCATGCTTACTCCAAATCCAAATCGAGTCCCAAATCGGAGATGGAGCTAATGGAGCAGTTACCTGCGAGGACTGGCAGCAGCCGAGGCACGTTTTCCCTTCTCTTTTCCAAACCTGTAGTCGCAATATCTCCACTATCTTCTCTGTTTACTTCTTATTTATTTAAGAAACCATTCATATTCTCTCAAAGGCACAAATAAAGAAAAATTCAGTTTTTCAAACACCACTTGTAACATCCACGAGGGCGAAGGTAAAGATGACTAAGAAGGGAGCTCAGGTTGTTTAGGATTTTGGCCAGATGACGCCAGGGATTTTCCTGAATGTCGCAATAGTCGTTGGACTGCAAGCCAAAGTTTTTAATAATTTTAAGTTTTTAATAAGTAATTAATAACTTACATCCGCAAATCGCAGGCCCAGAATGCAGCGCAGCGCATTGGAGTTTATTAGGGCCACCAAAAAGTCGGGTGCCTTTGACCTCGGTGGGTACAATTCCAGCCATATAATGCAAATGTGCAGAATGTAGCAATAGGTGGTGACCATCATTACAGCTTTATATGCAGTCACTAATAAAATATTAATATAGAAGATAGTTCGTCATAAATAATTGTAAAAATATTAATTTAAAAGAGAACTCAAAACTTATTATAATAATATGAATATATGATATGATAAACAGATTTTGATCTTACTTAGGGGCGGCACATAATGCGGGGAGGCATGGCGCGTCATATACATTAAACCCCAGGCAGTTATCAGCAATGCGATAAGAATGAGGGCACTTCTGCGAGTAGAACGGAGCACAAAGGACATTATCAAGAACATCTGGCAGGCTGAAAATATAAGGATATACCTATGATTTAAAAAAATGATACATAAACCTAGATCATATAAATATAAATATTACCAATCAAAGGCAAATAGAAGACGACCATGTAGAAGCTGCGGTTCCTCTGCAGTGTAAACTCGATGGCCACATCCCCCGCCATTTTCTGCAGCACTCCTTTGGGGTTGTACCGCCTCGCCGAATCGCTGTCCACCTGGACCACGGACACCTCGGAGAATGACCAGCCAGACGGCATGTTCACGTGCTCATTGGGCGCAATAGGCCTGCGTTTGGCATCGTAGATTAGCGCCAAGTTCTCCTGCCCCTCCTGGGTGATCAGGCCCAGTTCGATGTCGCAGGTAACCCGCTCGTTTGGCCAGTTTCGGGCACTGTCCACACACCAACTGGTCAGCTGCAGGTTGTTGGCGTAGAGGGTGATGCTGCCGTTGGCGAAGATCCTCAGCTCGTAGGATCGCAGGACCTCACCCATGGACTGCAGGGCACCGTTGAGCACGTTCAAGTGCGGTGTCCATATGCGCAGATCACGATGTTCGAAGGACTTTAGACCACCGAATTCCTGGGGATTCCAGCCAAGGCGATTGTCCTGCCAGTGCTGGAAAGGATTTGGATATTATTTTAAATTTTATATTTTTTAAGGCCTATCCTTCATTACCATCATCATGTGCATGCGGGTCTGAAGCAGAGAATTGGTTTGCTCGTAGGCAAGTGATCGCGTTTGGAAGTGGAACAATATGGAGCTCAGATTTGCCGGCACGGTGGCATTCTCCGCCAGGAAGTTCAATCGGTTCAGGAGTTTTTCAGCTGCAGTTACTTCGTGCACCTCTGGGTCTATTTCCTTGTCTGAAATTTGAAATTGTTAAATCGTTTCAATTCCTCAAGAGATTTAAATAACAAATAATTGTTGGTAAAACAGAAATGCAGATGTTCAAAATTTTTGATTACATTTTCAAGTTTATATATTTCCGTTACTATTACAGTTTTTTTTTACTGATTTATCATTAGTCATCGGATTTTAGGTGAAATCGTTTTTTTTTAAATACGATTTAATGCCACATTTGATTAGTTACAAATTTTATTTATTAAGTTATAATTATATTTAGGCCAAACTTCATTGAGGTTTTCGTAAAAAAATTTTAGCCAATCAAATGTGGCTTTAAACCATATAAAAAAAAACATTTCACCTAAAATCCGATGTCTATTTATCATATTACGTTATAGCCGATACAATTAATTCATATAGATTCTAGTGTTAGGAAAACAGTTTGGTCATATAATTTAATGTTTAGTAATAACACCCTCTAGAGATTTTCGTGGCACTTCGTATTTAATGTAATAAAGGTCTGTCCTCACCATAACCATCGAAGCCGCAGTCGTAGAACCACCGCGCTGTATTAGAACCAAAGGAGCTGAAACTCAGATAGTTGACGGTCAGTGGCGCCTCGTCGATGAACTGCATCAGAGGCTCCTGCTTGAAGCCGGGTATGTAAACAAACAACTCGCCATCTGTGAATTATATTGGGCGTTGAAGGGCAGGGAATTCCAGATAAGATGGGAAGCCCGCTGGGCAGGAAGCTCACTCTGTGTCTGGACAATCTCAATTGGCGTTGGCTCGTACAGTGAAACCAAGTGCGCTTCTTGACTCGTCGCCACTCGTCTCACTCCCATGGAGGTACGGATTGCGGAAAACGTATTTCCGCCGGCGCCTATCACTGGAAGCGGAATGAAGATATCGTATAAAAATATTATGCAAGGGTGTCATAAATAGGCATTCAATTGAAGGTCTATGAAATCGATTTGGCGGCCTTGGAAATATTTAATATATTCTACATGTCTTTAAATGATTCTCTTTTTGTTGATAATTACATTTTTATAATTGTAGAATTGGGAATATCCCTAAAGAGATTAAAAATATATGCAAAGGCACAACATTTATTTATTTATATGAAATTTAGAATTTCCTTTATGTATGTATATCTCGTATGTTTTTTTAATTAATATTCAAATAAAAAGATAAGTCTCTTTTATCTTTAAATAAACCGACCTCTATTTAATTTTTTTATGCTTAGTTTTGACTCAGATAAATATTTTTTTTAACGAATTTTATAAACTCCTAAGGGATCTCTCTATAGTAAATTATTTAAATAACCTACCGATCTCGTAAACGCGATCATTTATACGCGGATGACTCGTCACCGAGAGCAGGATGTGTGCATCCATGGAGGTCAGGACGTAAAATTTCAAGTGCAGCCGCTCCCCTTCCCTTTGGTTGTTGTTGTTCAGCTCGTGGAGCACGTAGAATTTCCGGTAGCCATATCCTGTATTTGGAACCGAGTAGCTTTCACAGGAATCCAGCTGGGCGAAGCTAATGTTAAATCTGTTGGGCGGTAATTCGGATTCCGCCGGATCGATCAGTGCCAGGCAAAGGCAGCAGAAAGCCAAAGAGCACTTGATAAGGCTTTTCATCGTATTGTCCGGATATTCTTTCCTCACCGCGGTTTGAATCTGACTGAAGTGCGGCTTTGACTAAAATGAACTGAAATAAAACGAGGAACTCAGCGATAAAATGGGTCTTTTTCTTTGCCCATAAAGTAGGGATATTTTTTAAATGGGGCGTCAAACGTCTAAAAATTATTCATTTTTATAAGTTGCAGAGTATTTTTAGTAAATCCTTGGCCTCTGATTATTTTCGAATTTTCAGAATCCATGTATTTTGGGGCCGAGATTACAAAGTTGCGAAAACCGCAAAAAAACAGTTACTTTTATGTTATTTCATGTATTTATTTTTCTAAACATACCACTTTCAAAAATATTTCAAATATTTGTAGTATTTGTTGATATTTTACGAGAAAATTTAGAACCATTCTTCTGGTTCGCGATAGTATTTAAAACATTAACGGTTCAAGCCATCGATATTATCGATAGTTTGCCAGCTCTACCCTAGTGCTAGTGTAAACGGGCCGTTACTTCAACACGCACTCAAAATATCGATATACTGATTGATCCCGTGCAGCCCTGCCGCTGAAGACAACAAAGGTATTCTCGCCCAGGTAATTTTCCGCTAGCCACTTGCGACCACACCGACGGTGAAAAGCGAAATAATCGAAATAACTAATTGTAAAAAACAGCCGCAGCGCGAATAAAAGGTGCGTAGCTAGTCCCACTCCTTATCGGCGGTCAGCGGCTCGCCCCCGACCCAACCTCCCCCTTGATTTTCCATCTCCGACGGCCAGTAAAACGTGCAATTCCCCCCCTCAAATCAGCCAGCAAAATCGGAGCAGCGCAGCAGCAGCAGAGACGCAGACGAGAAAGTGACGACGCAGCAAAACGAAGCGACAAAAGGAAATCGGCGACGTATACGTTCAACTTTGACAGAATTAAGGTAGGCATTGCATTGCGAATTCGAGGCAGTTTGAAAAAACAAATTCAGTTAACTTGACGCCCCGGTTGAGAGGCGAAAGAAGAAGAGAGAGAGCGAAAAAAAAAGAAAGGGGAAAACAAAATGTCCGCGACCCTGACGGAATTGGCGTCCCCGACGCTCGCAGACGTAACCACGCTGGATTTCAAAGGCGAATGTGCGAGATTTTCCCCTAATAATAACCACTCCCCCTCATCACCCCCTCCCTCTCTTTGTGCTTTGCAGTTTTCGAGTCCAACGCCGCCGCCAACGCAATGTCATGCCGCGCCCCCTTCCAGCCCGACGACCAGTATGAGCAGCTGCGCCGGCCAAATGCCGGAGGAGCCGGCGGAGTGGCCATGCCGGGCCTGGAGCAGCAGGCCCACCTATTTGGGGATTATGCCGGTGCCCAGGGCTACGGCCAGGTGGGTGGTGGCTACCAGCAGCAGCAGCAGCTGCCGGTGCAGGCGCAAACTTTGTCTGATTTGTCCAAGCTGTCGGCCGCCGCCACCATCTTCATCCCGCGGGCGGCTGCTCCGCCGCAGCAGCAGCAGTCGCGCCATCAGCAGTACCAGCAGGCTGGTGGATCGGGTGGCTCCGGAGGAGCTGGAGCTCCCTACGGGCAGCAGCAGCAGCAGCGGTATGTGAACGGCTACAAGCACCACCATCAGCAGCAGCACCACCAGCAGCCGCACTACAACCATCACCACAACCATCAGCAGAAGTTCAACAACGATATGCAGAAGCTAACGAATTCCGTGCAGAATCGGCTGCACTTGAACAGCCAGCAGGGCTCGGCTGGCAACTACTATCAGCAGCAGCAGCAGCAGCAGGTACACCCACAGAACACACACCACCACCACCAACAACAACAACACCACCAGCAGCAGCATCAGCCACACAACCAACACGCCAAGTTCCAACGGCATACCCACTTGAATAACTCATTCCAACAAATCGCACAGCAGACACAGCCGCACCACCAGCAGGCGCACCACCAGCAGCAGCAGCACAACCACCAGCAGCAGCAGTATTTCCAGAATCAGAACCAACAGCAGCAGCCATCCACTTCGTCCGCGGCGGCCTCCTCGTCGTCCTCGAACTCTTCGCAGCCGGACATGGCCACTATTGCACTGGAGTATCTCGATACAGTCATACATTGCCTTAACCAGGTGAGGAATATTTATTTGATGCAATATTCTATACGGTTAAGTGTCTCAGGGGAATGTTTCTATAATATTTTTCATTTAAAAATTTGAATTATTACTTTTATGAGGGGTTAATTCTTATTAGAGCCCTGCTTGAATAGATTCAATGAATTATTTTGATTTTTTTGTTTTATATGAATGAATTAATTAGAATTTTCAGTTTAATAGAATGGCATGAATTCCGAAATAATTCAAACGACAATTTCTTAGAAGAAAAAAGGGCCATAATTTTGTGATTAAATTTGCATGAATTTTATATTCTAAGCAGTTAACATTGATTTTTTAAAAATTTTCCACTTTTTGTTCTCAAAAGAAAGCACAAAAAAAATGTGGCAAATTCAAAAAATTCATAAAAATTATTCATTCATTCATTCAATTCGAAATAAATTAGAAAAACATTCAATTTATTTCACGTAGAATGGAATTAGACAAATCAGAATTTTGGCATACCATGATAAAACAAAAATGTAATGATTTAAGCAGGGCTCTAGTCAATACTTATAAAAAAAAACTGTGTAAATATTCCCTTTCATCAACTCCTTAAAAAACTTTTATAATCTGTATAATAGAGCCCTGCATGAATGGATTCAATGAATTATTTTGAATTTTTTTCTGTTATATGAATGAATTAATTGGAATTTTGTGTTTAATAGAATTGAATGAATTTGAATTTTGACTTTAATAGAATGAATGAATGAATGGCATGAATTCCGAAATAATTCAAACGACAATTTATTTTGAGGAAGAAAGGGCAATTATTTTGTGATTAAATCTGGCTGAATTTTATTTACTATGCAGTTAACATTGATTTGTTAAAAATTTTCCACTTTTGTTCTCAAAAGAAAACACAAAAAAACTGAAAAAATCTAAAAATTCATAAAATAATTCATTCGATTCATTCAATTCGAAATGAATTAGAACAACATTCAATTTATTTCACATAGAATTGAATTAAACAAATCAGAAATTTCATGGCGTACTATGATAAAACAAAAATTGAATGATTCATGCAGGGCTCTACTGTATAAACATAAGTTTAAAAAACAGAAATTTATCGAATTAGAATACTATACCCTTTTTTATTGCCAAAAAACTTTGTCAAGAGTCTAAAGCTTTAAATTTACCACATTTTCCTTACCTATACTGATTACGATGACCTTATAATACCCTTTATACTTCCTCTCAACCCCATTTCCTTGCAGAATCCGGGCCAATTTGATACGATTGCATCACGCTTCCTGACCATTTTCGACGGCATGGAGAACAACCAGTTCGTGCTCTCCATCGCCATGGAGGACATTTTCGAGAAGTCGATCGAGCAGCCGAACTTCCGGTACATGGGCGCCAAGCTGTACAACCTGCTGCACATGCTCAACCCGAAGCCGGACTCGCTGTTCCACACGCTGCTCAAGTGCAAGCTGGACTACCACCAGGAGGAGGTGACCAAGTATATGCGCTCGAATGAGCAGCAGAAGGTCCGCGAGACGGCGCTCTTCCTGGCCGAGCTCTACATGCAGTTGCGCGGCGACGACGATTCGCGCATCCAGTTGATCGCCGTGAATATCGTTTATTCGCTGAGCAAGCTGCTGGCCAGCGAGAGCAACGAGAACGTGCGCTGCCTGTGCCAGACCCTCAAGCTGGCCGGCTACGATCTGTCGGCCGACTGCCCCAAGGACATGCTGGAGATCATCACGGCCCTGCAGGCGATCGAGCTGAAGTCGCCGGGCAAGTACGCCATGGCGGCCAGTGTGATTGCCCTGCAGCAGAACAACTGGGGCCGCAAGGTGTCGAACGCTTTGGGCGGCGATGAGGATACTGTGGCCGAACCGCCGCGGCTGAGCGATGAGCCAGTGTTCTACGGGCCCGATGGCCGCGAACTGACCGCCGAGGAGACCGACTTCCTGGCCACCGAGGACGGCGAGGGCAGCGATGCCGACGACTTCGATGGCGATGGCGGCGAGCTGGAAATGGACGCCGAGATGGACGAGGAGACCGAGCGCGCCTACAAGGAGTTCTGCAAGCAGGGCAAGCAGAAGACCTAGACGGCGGACTGTGGAGGAGTGTGTGGCGTTGGGCGGATTCGCGGGGGCGTGGCCGGTGGCAGGATATAGCTTAGGATATAGGAGGGAGGAGCGGAGGAAGGAGAAGCATTTCCAACAAATTCTCGGTTGTAGAATCGATGATTGCAGTTGCTTGGTTCAGAACCAATTGTGATTATCCTTTTAAATTATATTGATAGCAAATTGTTTGTGATATCTTCGTGTTTCATGCACCTACCATATTATGACATGTGTTTATGACTTTGTTCGAACGCTTTTTTGTGTGATACGCCCGTTTTGTATCTGTATCTCTGATAACTAACTCTCTGCCCGGGATAGCCAGTTCATTCATCAGTTTGTACTTTTTAACTCTCAGTTTTGAATAATCGCCAAGCCAGGATTTTAGCCGTAAACGGTGAAAATATATAATTATATAGCCCCACTGCCACGCCGATCCGATTCGAACCGCTAACTCACACACACGCAGCTGCACTCAAAGACTCGTACTCATATGCGCACCCACACACTTGCATGGCACATATGCAGGCTCATAAACGGCAGAATAAAAAACAAAACCGCAAATTTCACATTCAATTAAAAACATTCTCTTGATCATACAAATCGAAAAACGAAAAAAAAAAAAAAAACAACCAACAACAACAGCAGCCACGCCTAATTTTTAAATAATTGTAATTAATGTTAACGAAACCATGATTTAATTATAAATAAAATTTATCGAATTGCGTTTAAAACAAGTTCAAGTTGAACCATTTGATTGAATGAAGAAAAGTCTTCAATTTTCTGGTTGAAAGCAAAATGGCGGCTAAGCACAGACACCCTACTGACATTTCAGCGTGACCGTTTATTGAATAAATACTAGACTACCATCTCTATCGGTATAACTTATCGATTACTCCGCGGTCGCAATGTTACCCATCTCTACTCAACTTCTGTAATTTGTGTTTTTTTCTTCGGAGCGATGGAAGTGCAAATCGGTGTGAATTAAATTGTTCGCTGTAATGTGATAAAAACCAAACGGTTGCGAGTGCTCGTAATAAACGCGCAAATGTACGGCGGACAGAGTCCTCAGACTGAGAGACCTTGAAACGAAATTGGAGACCAAAACAAAAGTGACGTCATAATGGTGCTATTTATGTATTTGTATGTACGTCCCAGTATCTATATCTGTACAAAGTTTTGCTAAAATATTCGCCACTGAGACGCAAACAGTCGCCCGCGAGAACATTAATAGATAAAAACAAAAAAAAAACAAAACTAGCAATGAGCTGTAAATCTAGAGTATTTATAAGGAACTCAAGAAAAGCAAAGGCAAAGTGACAACTAAAGGTCACAAAACAGCGAAAAGAAAAAAAACAAATACAACACAAGAACTGTGTGTGCGCGTGTGTGTGAGTGTGTGTTTTTGAGTATTTTTGCAGACAACAAAGCAATAAAATCGTTTCCAAAATATATACACAAAATGTTTTCCGCCTTGTAGACTTTTAACTTTCGGTTTCGTTGAGGTCTACAAAACTGAACAATTTTCCACCTGCATTTTGCATTCTCTTTTTTTACGTTTTTTTTTTATGAATGAACCTTGTAAAGTGACCCAGAAATTGTATAGCATATAACCTGGCGTCTATATTGTTTTTCATTCCGTATCCAGATCGCCCGCAGAAGTTAACTGGTAAACATGACTCAGTAAATTAGTGACACCCAGCAAAACGACGATCGAAAAGGTCTAATTTTTTAAACAAACCCCAACACCCCGAAAAAATCCCAATTAAAGAACCCCACGATCCGCACCCGCTAAAATGGCCAGCGTCTGGAAGCGATTGCAGCGCAATTTCAAGCGCGCCGCCAAGTTCCAGTTCACCGCCTCGTACCACGATCTGCATCTGGAAACCACCGCCAAGTGGTAAGTGCCCCATATTAAAGTGGATTAGTTCGTTGGGGAGTCGGTTCAAGTGGGCGGAGGGTGGTGCTCAAGTGTTTTTCAACTTGAGCGAAATGGTCGGTGAATAAAAGGGTTAATAGCAGGTTTTTGAGGGAATTTAATTTCCTTTTCATTTCCCATATAGACATTGGCCTTTAATAATACCTCTTATTTGTAATTCCCTGTAATTTGTAGTCAAAAACATTTTTTAAAAATATTACACATTCAAATGTTCTTCAAATTATTATTTATTTGTGTTTCCCAAATTTTTTAAAAATAAATGTTTAATATGAAATATTCCTTTATTTATTTTTATAACTATCTTGTTCCTTATATAACGTCACGTTCTGATAGTTCTTCCTTCACTTCGCATTATCTTATGTTAAATCAATAATAGGTTTTTCTTATCACAACCAAAGAGTCGGTTAAAAGCTTTTTTATTAAACAAATAATGATAGCTATAGGCGCCCTTCCGATTGCACAAAACCTTTCAAAATTTAATACTCCAAAATGGTCGTTAAAAGTAAATATATCATTATTAAAAAGTTATTTAAAGTATACAACTTACACATTTAGTTTAACCTTAATTTTCCGTGTAATATTGAATTATTTTAACCCCAAGCTATAAGTAAATATATCATTATTAAATAGTTCTTTAAAGTATACTACCCACACATTTAGTTTAACCTTAATTTTCCCTGTAATATTGAATTATTTGAACCCCAAGCTATAATACGTACTTTTCATAAAATAAAAAATCGCTAATTATATAGATTTATCCGATTTCCCGCCCAGTTTGTCATGCAAACAAAGCGAGTCTTAAATTTACCCACTTTTTTCTTTAAGCATGTATATTGAAATTGAAAGTCTTGATATCTAGCCCCTTTGAATATTAATGTTTTAGTATTCCCCATATCTTCGTACGACCCCGCTCTTCCTGTTGACATGCAATGTTTCCTACAGACTTTTGTTTAATAAACATTCATCACATACATTTATCAGCTGAAGAGCCCACATATCTACATATTTATAATGACGCCGCATCCGGCGGTCAGAAATTGTTATTCATGGACTTGTACATAAAATTAATAAAAAAGTGCCGAGAATGTTCCTCGTATAGAGTTGAAGGAACTTTGAGAAACCCATTTGGCATGAAATATTTAATAATCGCATGGTGACTATTTTTCAGGCGGCCCTCGAACCTCTCTATCGTTTGGACCAGGAGATCTAGACGAGTGGCCAGTGCTCCTTTGCCATGGGAGCCGGACATGATGAATCCCCTGGTGGGGAATATTTCCTGGCCAGTGCCCGACAATCACACCATATCGGTCACCCTGTTCAAGGATCCCCGGACGCACGAGCTGGAGGACAAGGACTGGACGTTCGTCATCGAAGATGTGGGTTAAAAAAAGCACTATTAATGTATATAACAAGTAATGAGTGTTACTTCCACACAGGTTACCCCAATGGGCAAGAAACGTGTCCTGGCCAATGCCAGCATCAATATGAGGAAGTATGCCAGCGTAGAATCCACTCAGCAGAGCTTTACATTGACCCTAAAGCCAGTCTCGAAGAAGATCACTGCAGCTAGTTTGGAACTCACGATTAGCTGTGTATTTCTACGAGAAGGAAAGGCCACGTGAGTCATACTGCTTTAAGTTTGTACTGACTGAAATTTTATGGTAAATGAATATCCCTTCCAGAGACGAGGACATGCAGAGTGTTGTCTCCATGATGTCCGTAAACAACAATGATGTGGCCCCTTTGGACGACTTGGAGGACATTCCCGATCTTGACAATTTCAGTGAGATTACTGACAACTTTAATGACTTTACCCAGCAACTGGAGCATATGACAACTAGCCTAAATGGCTGCATTGATGTGGCCACCCCTCAAAGTGGTAAGAACTCTTTTCCACAACCAAAAACTATGTTTCATGTACTAAAATTCAAGTATTTGTATCTGTTAGTATGTAATAATGGACTAGAACTTATATGTATATTATGTATATCAATTGCTGATCATAGGGGTTATGAAAAGCACTTTGGTTAAGTATGTCTTAGTAAATGTTCCCAAACTGCGCATCTGATGGATGCCATATATGTAAACTTGATCTCGCGCATGATCTAATCCACACAAATCAAAATTACACATTCTCTGAAACAACAAATCGATTGATTCTAGTTTTAGCTGTAGATATATACTTTGTACAGACATTTCTCTCTGACTCAAAAAGAAATTATTTCCTTTCTATATCCCATAACATCTACAACACATCACGTATCTTGAATGGTTTCCTGCAACCTGTAATTTGTGCGTAAATCGTTAAATGTTCATTTTCCTTTGTTTTTTGTTTCCTTTTTGGTTTGTTACGATGTAGTACCTTCGTTGTCTGAAGATCCAACACCGTTGGCCGAGTCATTTAATCAATTGCATTTTGAACTAGACGCCGACGGCAAACGGGAAGCTGCTGCGAACAAGTTAGACTTGCCCACAGCTGCATCCGGTGGTTCTAGTGCTGCCGACGAGTCCCTCAAAACCCCCAATGGACTGCAGCCTCTGGTGGACAGTACGCCCATCAAGTCACCAGTTGAAGTTAAGCAGCCGAAGCAGACACCTGCGAAAGCTATCGAGACCTTCGACAAAATGGTCACCTCGACGCCTCTCGAACCCAAAATCAACAAAGATGATGTGAAGCCAAAGAAGAAGAGGGCTCTATTCTTCTCGGAGAAGGAGGATGAGAAGGATTTAGGGGTGGAAAGTGTTAAGGAAGATATCGGCGACAACAGCACCAAAAAGGAAACGCCCAAAGAAGATAGCAAGGATGCGTCATCTGTGGTGGTGCCTCCGAGTACTAAGCGCTCCGAGCTGCCGCCCCTGAACTTGAAGAAGAGCTACGAACCCTCGCCGACACCTGCACCCGCACCCGCATCTGTGATAAACGAATCCCAGGGATCACTGTCGGGTACCTTTAGTACCTCTGGCTCGTTGAACAACAGCCTGAAGCCCGTGGAGAAGATCGTGCTGAAGGAGAACACTCCCGGGCAGGATCTGCTGGAGTGGTGCAAAGAAGTAACCAAAGACTACCCCAATGTTAAGGTCACCAACCTGACGACCAGCTGGCGCAACGGCATGGCCTTCTGCGCTATTATTCATCATTTTGCCCCCGAGCTTATGTGAGTTGTCATGATTTAATTGCATTTTTTTTATTAAATAATGTAATATATATTTTTCTTAAATTTAATATATTTATCTTTTGAAAAAGGGACTCTATACTAATTAAATTTTTCTCTTTTTTAGCGACATGTCCAAGCTGAGTGCCCACGATGTGGTTGGCAATTGTCGGATTGCCTTTGATGCGGCGGAATCTTTAGGAATACCACGCGTAATCGAGCCGCGGGAGATGAATATGCTGACAGTTCCGGACAAGTTGGGCGTAATGACCTATTTGCATCAGTTGAGGGCGCATTTCACTGGCAAGCAGCTGAAAATTGAGCAAATTGGTAAGCTAAAACCAGAAAATATAAGTACATATGATTAAAAACATTTCTTTTTTAGGCTCCACGGCAGACGAATCGAGCTATGTGATTGGAGACTACATGTCGGACAATTTGTCGCAGAGTCGCATTATATTTTCGCATCCGAAGTCTTTGCTGCTGCATCAGAACTCCATCGACGAGGAGATGTTTGGGCAGAATAAATCAGAGCAACTCTCGCCGACTAGCAAAAAGGATGTGAAGAATCTGATTCTGAACAACTCGAAGAACATACTGGACAAGGTGTTGTCGCCCACCAAGGATAAGAACTCGATCAACGCATCGCAGCATGCCAATCAGTCGTCGGTCCTCAGCAGCCAGACGCCGCCGCCGCCGCTGGAGGAATCATTGGACGAGGGGCCAACGGCGGGTGGCAAGGAGAACGTCTCCAAGACCGTCATAGACCCCCAGGCCGCCAGTGTGAGTAGAAGCCAGGCCCAAAGTTGCACCGTTGAGTTGAAGTTATCCATTGAGTTGTTGCTTTGGCTTTAGCGATTTAATTATTTACCTACTTTGCAGTTGATTTCCTAGAGCTTTTCAGTTTTGTATATACTTCGTTTTATGGTTTTTTATTGCTTTATTTTCGGTTTGATTTGTAGCGAATTTTAACGCGCCACAAGCTGATGAGCGAAAAAGCCAAGCTGATGATTGAAAAGCTGAAGCTTTACAATACCAACGAAGCGAACGACGTAAGTAGCTTTTTGCCAGAGACGCAGTTCGTCGCACGCAGCGCAGCTTATCTCTTGCATGTCTTGTTAATTCCTTTAAATATTATAATTATTGTTTTTCTTAAGAATATAAAATGGGATTTTTCCCAAGCAAATGGAAATGAGAACTGTAATATTGATTGACTGTCTGATTGTGAAATTAGTTAAACAAAGTAACTATATATTTAACAAAAAGTATTGAACTTTTTGTGAAAGTAAATTAAGTAGTTTACCACTTTTAGAGGTATTTATTACCTGAATCCATCTGGTACTTGTAAAATATCATATTTCAATAACAATCTAAACAGTTTTCATTACAGTTTCTAAGAAAACCCTCTATTCCGTACTGTTGATATACTTTTGTTATTATAAATTGGTCAAATTAGTCCACACCCTCACTCAGTTTTACCGATGTCTTTACCCTGTCAGGAGGATCGACAGCAGCGGCTGCGGGAACAGGCTCGTCGCCTCATCTTGGAGACGCGCGGAAAGAGCGGCGGCTCCATTGAGAGTCCCACCAGCCCCACCAGGCCCAGGTTGGAGCGCACCATCTCGCCGATCCACAACGGAGCCGAGGAGTTCTATAACTCGGAGCAATCAAAGAAGCTGGACGCCAAGGAGCCGGGCAGTCCTAGTCATAGGTTAAGTGATCTGAAGGGCCTGGGACTCAATGGCAGTCCCCTGCAGTCCTTCAATGCGATTGTGGACCGCGTTTCACCAAAGCACGAGAAGAGGGTAAGCTGGGTTGTCCCTTAGAAACGTGTAATTAGCAGGGTTCTGAAATTGACAAACATGTTAAAAACATGAAAAATTGTATTTTAAAGTGTGAGCAAAATTGTGCTTTTTACACACTTTGTTTTTAACACAAATGAAAATTACATTTCACGGAAAGTGAAAAACCAATATGGGGTTTTAACCATTTCAAAGCATATATGAATTCTTATACTCTGGAAAACCGTGCATTCTTTAATTCTTTAATGTCAAAAACTCATTGTGTTAAAAACACGCTATTTAAAAAAACATGTCGTGTTAATAACACGTCGTGTAAATAACACAAATGACATGTATGTGTTATTCATGTTTCTAACATGTGTAGGATACAATTTTTTACACACAAGTCAATAACTTTTTTTGAACTTAACACTTTGGCATTTAATATGTTAATAACACAAATTATCACAGTGTGTGTTATTTTCCGAACCCTGGTAATTCGTCAAAGTCATTAATAATCTCTTTTCCACAACGCTTCCAGGGTGACAAGCTGTCCTACATCGAGTCCGAGCTGGAGGCCCTCGAGCGGGAGCAGGAGGCCATCGACCAGAAGGCCAGCAGTCTGGAGGCCAAGCTGCGCGCCGTGATGGGCGGCAATCCAAGTAATAACCGAAGGGGGGGCGCCAGAAATGGCAACCCCTTCCTTAGGCTAATCCGAAATAGTATTGGTGGTGGTGATGTGATACGCATTAAGCTGCTCGACTCGGATGACGAGAGTCTGTTTGGTGGAGGTGCTGGTAGCGGTGGCGGTGGTAGCGGGGCGTGCAGCGAGGACGACGACCAAGGGGACACGTCCAGCGATAGTGTCTGCAACTCCGGCGACGAGCTGCACACGCGACTGCGCCCCCGGCCGCGCTCCCAGTCGTGTTTTGTGAACAATGTGAACAAGGCCCATCCATCGCCCATGACCACGCCCGCTCATCTGCGTCCGCATCATGTCCATCATGTTGTGCCCTACACCCACATGCTAGACAGCTCCCCGTCGGCGCTCTCCTCGCAGCAGTCCTCGTGCGATAATTTGCCCGCGTGCAGCGACGACGACGAGGTCCTGGCGCTGGCGGCCACCGGTCGTGCGGCTTCTCTGCGGCGGCAGCAGGATCGCCACAGGCGACGCCGTCAGCGGCGGGAGCGGCGCTCCCATTTATGTCACAATCACAGTCCCAGTCATTGTGGTAAAGTGCGGCCCATCCTATCATGCCTAACTCATTGCGCTGCTCTGCTAATCGCTTCTGCCGATGCACTGCCAAGCCGCCTGACTGACCGCCCGCCTGCCCGCTCGCCTTTTTCAATCGCATCCAATCGCTCATCCCTTGTGCCGTTTGTTTGTTCTAATTTGTGTCTGTGTTCGCTTATTAACTTGGCCGGACAGCCGTTTCAAATTGTGTCTAACCATGTTCGGACTTGGTTCTAAATGTCCCGATATGTAACGCTCACTAATCACAGAGTCCACGCTCTGCAGCAGCTTTTAAAAACCGCCAAAGGACGCCTTCTTAGACTAAAATTGAGCACGAAGGGCCTGTTCTGGTTTTTAGACTTTAAAGAAGTATTTAAAAGTATGTTTCTGGAACCTAAGAACCATTTATGGTTCCCTTTTTTGTAGTTAATCCTATCAGAACAGGCCAGCTTTTATTAATCTTAGTAATTCACAAAGAAAGAACTCCATAAAGAGACTATCAATAACAAGTAATTCAAACATTTCACAGAGACCGAGGAAACGGAGGAGCAACTGCTATCGCAATGGTTTACGCTGGTCAACAAGAAGAACGCCCTCCTCCGGCGACAAATGCAGCTGAACATACTGTAAGTTTTGTTTGTATTAAGCCCTACTATCAGTTTGGTGTCTTATCACATGGCTATTTTTAACCCTCAGCGAACAAGAAAAAGATTTGGAACGAAAGTATACAATGCTGAATCAGGAGCTGCGAGCGGCGCAATCTGTGGAGGATTGGCGCAAGACGGAAGTGCAGCGGGAGAAGGAGCGACTGCTGCTCGAGGAGCTGATGAAGATTGTCGACAAGCGTGACCAGTTGGTTCAGCATCTGCACAACCAAGAGATAGCGTAAGTTTGAAGCTTTGCCTTATCACATTATAAATAAATAACCCTTGATGCTTTTTAGGATCGAAGACGACCAGGAGATCGCGAGAAAGCTGGAGCACGTGGACATCAGCGAAAAAGACAAATGTGTTCTTCAATAGAAATCGAAATTAACCAAACCTGACTGGAGATTATACTTACACACACTCAATCTTATCTATGTAACTAGTTAGATAACAACTATGTTCAGTGACACGCGATAAGGTCACGTGGTTTTTGTGGTTCGGTGTCGCTTCTTATGCAATCGTTATATCCAACGACAACAAATACTTGGACCACTTGGTATGGTTATTAAACACAAAGGTATACTGTGAAACAAACAAATTGCTTTTCTATTCAAGCAAAGAAATTCAAAGAAAATGAACAAAACGTCCGTTAGCAAACTAAGTAATAAAAATCGAGATCAGACACTTCGAAAGGGACATTTATACACCTATTTATGATAATCAGATATTGGAAATACTGCAAATTTTATTCTGTTGACTTCGATTAATGTTTTGTTGTTGTGCCATCTGAACCACACCTTAGAGTAAATCCTGAACGCAAAGAAGATGTGAAATAAGGAATTGAGGAGGCAATTTTACGTTAGTTTATACTTTAGCATTTATCCCACATAAACTAGAAACGCTTCATCCAAAAATACATGTACACTTATATATTTATGAATTACCTTTATGCGAACACCTATCTTACCATACTTAATTTAGACCCCTACTTTTGCTCTAAGTTAAGCAAAGCGCTTTAATCATAATTTAAAGGTGGCTTATATACTTATACAATAAATATTTTAATTTACTTTGCCCAGGCGAATGTAAAAAGAACTGTTCGACCCAAGGAACATAGCTAATAAAGAATAGAATGTGCTGAATCGTCAGCATTGAATAAACCCAAAAACAAGTAAACAAACTGATTTGTTGTTTTTAATTTTCCCATATTCTTAGAATTTAGTGTTATAAACAAACAATGATTCATTTCGAGAGGTAACAGGTGTCTTTATTCGATCAACAGGTTTTTGTACAAAAATACATTTATTTAATAACTTTAACAGAATCTCATCTATATTGACTGATACTTTGAGTTTAGATACGTGTATTGGATCACTTGAGAATTGCTTATACGATTGCTTAATTAGCAGAGATTCCATCACATTGTACTTGATATTACTTTCGTTTCTCTTGTTCCTTCTGAAAGGAAGTCTTTTAATTACTCTACAACTCGACTAAAGATCTTAATTAAAAGCATGCAAAGTATACAATTAAGTGACGTCATGGCGGCGCTACCATTGCTCTAGCTCAGCGTTAAATAACTACAAAAGAAGCGAAATCAAAGTTGAGTATAGGACACAGCTACAAGCACAGCAAAAGCGAAGGTTAGACTAACTTTCGGAGCGGTGGGAGTTGAGGCAGCTCCATGGGTCATTTCGTGTAGTTCCTCGTCGGTGTACGTTTGATTGGATGCGGCGACCTTGTAGTTGAACGTGGCCGATACGGGCTTGTGGTCGGAGAGCATGTAGTCCATGTGCGACTGATAAGACAGCTGGTTGGCACTCAGGGTAATGCCCGGATAAATGTTGCTCTGCACGCGATGCAAAATCCTATCACACCAGGCTGGACGTCGCTTCAAGTTGTAATCATTCGTGCCCTCCACGAACTGCAAGGAAATCAAAATAGACGTTTTATGGGTACTCGAGATAAGCTAAAGCAGCTAATTAATTTCTTAATTACTGTACAACTTTTGGCACTTAAACTAGTTGGAAAGATTAAGCTTTTTCAATTCGATTTGATTGACTACTAAAACCGGTTTTGTACTGAGGGGATTCACAAACGAATCAAAATATCTGTGAGTTCCCTAACTTTGAGAAAGATTTGTTTTAATTACAAAAATAATAATAAATTAGTTCCAGGGAAAGAGTTATGATAATGTAAATTTTCAATCTATTGGAAATTATTTTTAGTCTAAAATATATAATGAACAGGAGATTAATCTTATGGAATACCGGCATTTCCATAAATCAATTAATTATACCCTTGCAGAGGGTATTATGATTTCAGTCAGAAGTTTGCAACGCAGTGAAGGAGACGTTTCCGACCCCATAAAGTATATATATTCTTGATCAGCATCTCTAGACGAGTCGATCTAGCCATGTCCGTCTGTCCGTCTGTCCGTCTGTCCGTCTGACCGTCTGTCCGTCTGTCTGTTTCTACGCAAACTAGTCTCTCAGTTTTTGAGCTATCGGGATGAAACTTTCCCAAAAGTCTTCTTTCTATTGCAGGTAGTATATATGTCGGAACCGACCGTATCGGACAACTATATCATATAGCTCCCATAGGAAGGATCGGAAAAGAAAACGTTAAAAAAATTCTAGCTTCGGTGTTTTTTGAAATATTACCTTCTACTTTTGGGGATGTTATTTTTTAAATATTTCTAAATTTTGAATTAATTATTTAAAAAATCGGACTACGATATCATATAGCTGCCATTGGAACGATCGGAAAATTAATGGAAAAGTAATAGGAAATAAATTCTAGCTTCTTTGGTTTTTATTGTATTATCTTCTACTCTAGGATATGACTCTTTTTAAATATTTCCGAATTTCAATTTTAATTTGATCAAAATCGGACGACTATATCATATAGCTGCCATAGGAACGATCGGAAAATTAATGAGATTAATTAAATTAATTGAACATTTTTGCGATTTGTTAATTAATAGGAATGATCTGCAAGGGTATTTAAGCTTCGGCTGGCCGAAGCTAGCTTCCTTTCTTGTTATGATTGATTTAAATTTAACTTGATATTTGCATAACTATATTATGATTATTACCTTGTGAGTTCCCTAACTTTGAGAAATATTTCTTTTTCAAATTACCAAAAGTAATAATAAATTAGTTATAGAAAAATTATTAAGATACTGTAAATTTACAAGTTATTGGAAATTATTATAAATTTAAAAGATAGAAATAACAGGAGATTAATCTTATGGAATACCGGCATTTCCATAAATCAATTAATTACAATTTTAGTATAGAATAAGAAATAATTTAAATTTAACTTGATATTTGCATAACTACATTATGATTATTACCTTAAAGGTGGGCGCAAAGTTGGGCTGCTGCTCCTCGAGCAGGCTGAAGGCATTGCCCTTCTCCCGCAGCAGGTTCAACTGGTCCAGCTTGAGCAGATCCGCGTAGCGCGCATTCTCCACATCGGTGCGCACATCCCAGGCGGACATCTCGCCGGAGAGGCGGAAGTTCAGATCCCCGAACCAGAAGACAAAGTCGTGGTCGAAGATCCGCCGGTATCCCTGGGCGCTGTACTTGTGGTTATCGACTATCTGGTGGTAGTCCTCGATGCGCTCCTTCAGCTTCTCGTCGTGGGCCGCCAGGTGGGAGCAGACGAAGGCCACGCCGGTTCCGTAGAGGGACAGCCGGATGCTCACGGCTCCCTTGTTGCCCCACAGACCACCCAATCCAGTGCGCGTGGCCTCCGACTCAATGTTCTTCATGTGCGGAATGTGCTTGTGCTGGGCGAACATGGTGATGAGGATGCCCTGCAGCTGCTTTGCGTCCACCTTGACAAACTCGTGGGCCTGCAGGGCGCCGGCGATCTTGAGCACCCACGGATCGTCCTGGAAGATCTTCAGGTTGGTGGTGCTCACCTCCTGGAATCCGATCACATAGATGTCGGGCAGCTGGTTATCCGGACAGGTGGTCGTCCCATTGAGGGACAGCAGGGAGCTGAGATCCTGGTCCCGCGGCGAGTGGGTGCCCACGTTCCAGGTGAGAATCAGGATGCAGAGGTCTGCAATCACCGTTGTCGTAACCATTTTTTCGTCCCTCAATTATCTATGATTAATACTTTGGGCTATGGACGACGTCACAAGGTGGCAATAGATGATTTCACGGGCATCCAAAACAGGTTTACGGATGCGACAGCTTCAAGAAACAAAGCGAAAGAGCCAGTTGCACAAGCTACTTTCATTTATGTAACATTCGCTTTTCAAGCACTAATTAAATAAGCCGCTTTAATTGGATTAAGTAGTACTAGTTGCCTATATTATTTTTAGAATTGTCAGCTGTCGTTATTTATGTTTATTTGTCCGCCCGTTGCGTTAGCTTAGTATGACCGCACCGCGATCTTTTAAACAAACCAACAAGAACGGTTGATTAATCGATAGCAGCGGAGCTTTAGTGTTAGTCGAAATAATCGACGGCATTGCCACTAAAGAGCTAGTTCTTTTTTAATTACTATTAATTAAATGTATTTAAAAATTAAGTTTTTAATTGTGTTTTGATTTTTTAATTATAAAGAGTCCTTTTGAAGAAGGCTTATTTCTTTATGTTAAATGTATTTTGATTTTTAACAACTTCAATTTTGTTTGTTACGATTTTAGACTTTACTGAGCCTTGTTTATATATATTTACTTATAATATTTTAATACTTTAAAATCTTTTATTATATCCCCATTTTTAGATAATTAAAAAAATGAATACCCCTATTGTAAAGTGGGCTGAGCCGATACTATCGCATCGCTAACTTCTTTGCGTACACACTGGCCGGATTTTTCTTAAAAATAAACAAATTCGGATTAAACCGGCTTCCTGCTTGGCTTAAACAAAGATAATCGCATGGCTAGCAGCTACGACATCCCCAGTTGGTGGGTTCTTGAAGGCAGCTCCTGTGCGCCCCCAGAAGCCAGTAATATTTGCTCTTTTCAGGGCCGGCAAACCGCCCACTGGCTTGCATCTGGATGTGCTGAAGGACGAGAAACTAGTTCAGAAACTGATGGTCGATGAGAAAAGGTGCTACTTATTCGGCCGCAACAGCCAGATGAACGACTTCTGCATAGACCACGCCTCCTGTTCGCGGGTCCACTCGGCATTTGTGTACCACAAGCACCTCAACATAGCCTACCTCGTGGATCTGGGGTCCAGTAAGTGCTCGAAACGGGGTTGTTCTGCATAAATTAAGGCACTAACTATGTTCTCCAGCCCATGGCACCTTTATCGGAACCCTTCGGTTGGAGGCGCACAAGCCCACACAACTGCAGATCAACAGCACCTTTCACTTTGGGGCTTCCACCCGGAACTATATACTCAGGGAGCGACCCTCGGGCCACCACAGCAACATCATGGAGGACCTGCCGCTCAGCGAAACCAGCGACGGAGCTCTGCTGGGCCTTCCCGAGAGCCAAACCGAACTTGATGTGGGTTAAGTCTGCAAAGGAATCTCTGTTTCATGATAATTTACCCAAGCTAATCCCCCCCAGAATCTCACGGAGTACAACACGGCCCACAATCGTCGCATCTCCATGCTGGGAATCGATGATGATACCAATATGCGAAAGCAGAACGCCTTGAAGCAGGGTCGGCGCATCCGGAATGTCACATTTAACGACGAGGAGATTGTCATCAACCCCGAGGATGTGGATCCCAATGTGGGACGCTTCCGGAACCTGGTGCAAACCACCGTGGTGCCCGCGAAACGGGCCCGCTACGATGTCAACCACATGGGCATCCATTCGGGCAGCGCCCTGGCGAGTGCCAATGCCGCCCATGTGCACCAACTGTTCCAGCAGAGCCTGGCGGACATGAAGCACCAGCAGCAGCAGCAGCACCACAGGGACATGCCGCCACCCAATGCAGTGCCCCATTCGCCTACCAATTCTCTATATCAAGGCCTGCCGGCCGAAACGCATGGCAAGGGCGACCTGGAGCCCATTTCCCCGCTGAGCATTGGTTCTAAATTGGGCCTGCTGCTGCCAAATCCCGCGCCCGAGGTGCTGCCCGTTTTCGACGAGGCCGTGGAGCCCACCTCGACTTTGGCCCAAAAGTTGGCCGTGGCCAATGCAAATGGTAATGGTTCCCCACTACAATCTTCTATGATTACTCATCTTGCCCTTTCAGTGCGTCGCTATGGCGAGGATCCGCATGACTCGAGCGGAGAGGGCGACTCGCTGTGTCCACAGAAAAAGAAATACGCCAAGGAGGCCTGGCCAGGTCGCAAGCCCATGTTGGGGCAGCTATAGAGGCTACTAAGCTCTTAGAAAACTAACCAATTTTATATATGTAGATCCCACTTACGATTTCCTAAAGTTTCTTGAGTAATATACATTTATTACACTTTCAACAATAATAAACGAAAATATTTTACACCGTCAGCATTCGCAGCAAACGGCCCGCCAAGAAAACACCCCAGACCGAAGTAAGCACGCGAATCTATTTATAGACCCATCGGTTGAAGACAATTACCACGCCGAACACAACAAGTACAGCTAAGCACCAAAAACCAACAACGACCCCGGAAGGGCCCCGGCACCCGAGGAAATTCCGTGGTCCCAGATCGGACAAGAAACATTTAAAAAACCCACCGTTTCAACAAAAGCAATCGACTCGCCGTAGGGAGAAGTCCAGCAAAAAAAGGCACCTATGATTAAAACAAAAGCCCAAACCAAACGAAAACTCGCAAACTAACAAATGGCGAAACAACCAATCAGTTCAGAACATCGATCACAAACTTGCAAAGGGGATATACGCAACGACTAAGAGATACGAAGAGGCAGAAATTTGGAAAACCAAAACAACAAAATGTCATAGAAGAAAAAATTTTGAAAAAACAATGTTGGAATCCCCACCGAAACGACTGAAACTACATACTCGCTACCAACCTACCGGAAAACATCAACATGGATAGAAGAACAAAACGACCATAACCCACAGCCAATGCGGAGCAATGCCAGCGTATTGGACACATTGCAAAGTTTGCGAAAGATCAGGCCGCCCGAATTGCTGCCGCCTATCAACCGACGTTCTGAATGGAGAAGAACAAAAAACCCACGTGTATCAATTGCCTAAAAACAAACACCCAATGCAATCATCACGCAAGATAGGAAGTGCCCTGTCTTCAAACCCATCAAGAAGTTCAAGCAATAAAAACCTACAAAAGGGACACCGAAAGCCTGGCAATCTACAAGGAGAGACATCAACCGATGGGTCGTTGTATCACAGTTGCAAAGTCTAGCCAAAATCAAACACACCAACAACAGGAAGCAACACAAAGCCCAACCAAACCCACACCATCAACAACCTGGGAAACCATCAACAACAACCAACGGAAAATTATCACCTATGAGACGAAGATGGGATGTCCACCAGCTCCATCAGCTCGGAACAAAAGCCAACGATAAGTCCAACACAGCAAAATTTACCCAAAAACCTACCAAAGAAAAAAGACTTTTAAAAAAAAGCCAACGAGAGCCCAAAAACCTCAATGCAACTAGATCTAAAATTAAGAACTTAATAAACACAGAAGGAATTCAAATCTAAATTAAGAAAACCCCAACATAGCTCCAAAACTCACCAACCCTTTAAAATGTCTCTAATATACTACAATGGAATAAAACGGTTAAGTAACAACTATAACGAACTCTTAATTTTAATAAGACAACACAATCCAAAAAAATTCATTCAAGAAACCCATAAACACCTTCCCAACACATCCCTATCCCAGTCAATTTGAAAAACCACACAACATCTATCGTAGCTAAGGGCGGAGTCGCCTTATTAATTCAAAAACACACAACACAGACAAATCCCTACGGGACATATATCGAGACCATTGCGCTCGAAGTTCAATCAACAAAAAATTTAATATATCGCAACAACATCCTCCTAATCAAAAATCACACAAATGAATTGAAAACAATGTTCCCAAGCCTAACACACCATCTATTATCACAGGTGACTTAATAGTTGGAAAGTATGGGGATCACCCAAAAATAAAAAGAGGAAACATTTTAGGGAAATTTATACTCAACAGCAACTATATCATTCTAAATAATGGAAACCCACACACTTCTCCACACATAGCTCATATACCCACATTGATTTAGCCCTCTGCTCACCTGACCTTAAAATTCACACCACGTTTAAAATTACGACACATTGCAAGGAGTGACCACTCCCCATCAGCAACAATTGTTCCACTCACAGGAAAAAAGAAAAGATACATACCTAGATTTATTAAAACTTAGCCAATTGGGACCAATATGAATTACTACAAACAACAAACTCTTCGACCTATTTCACAAAAACTAACAAAGAAGCCAGTAACATCCATAAAATAATTTTACAAAGTGCTTAAAAAGCATCCCCCAAACTAAGCCCCCAAACAACACCACAACGTCCCTGGTGGAACAAAAACTTAGAATCCTTAAAAAAACAAAAAACACAGCCTGGAAAAATTAACCAAAATAGAACAAGAAAACCTAATAAACTTTAAACGAACTAACGCACTATACAGAAGGAAATTAGAACAAGTAAAAGAAAGCAACAAACGTTAACATCCAATATCAACCCAGACACCAAATGTCAAACAATTGGAACAAAATTCGAACATTCTGTGGCTTACATAAGCAACACTATTCATTGTATAATAGACCAAAATTCAAACAACCCCTAACAAATCAAGAGATATAGCCCAAGCTTCCCAACCATTGGTCTTCACGATCCGAAGACAACAACTTCTCAACTTCTTTCCTCCAAGCCAAAAACGACATAATAAACAACACGCAACTCGATCTACCGCACAAAACAGCAGAATTTATGGAACACAACATTAATTTCATAGAATTCTCTGCAGCCTTGAATAGCCTTAAAGGAAACACACCAGGATACGATAAAATCAATTACACAATGATAAAACACACTTCAAAACCCGTAAAAAATAGAATAATAGCCCTCTTTAACAACATCTTAAAAACACATATACCCCAAATATACAAAGTCAGCACCATTATACCAATCCATAAGCCTGGAAAGGACAAAACATTGATCGAATCCTACCGCCCCATATCACTAAATCCTTGCTTATCAAAAGTATTAGATAAAATTATTTCCAAACGACTGTGCTGGTTTGTTACAACAAACAAACTGCTTAATAGTCACCAACTTGGCTTTTGCAAATCAGTTACAGACTGTCTACTGTACGTAGACGCTTTGATCAGCAGAGCCCTCTCCGAAAAACGACACGTATCCATAATATCATTAGACTTTGAGAAGGCATTTGAAAAGATAGGATTGCACACAATACTAAGCCAATTACGGACTTGGGGTTGCGGTGAAATCATCATAAACTATGTAAGCAACTTTATGACAAACCGGAAAATTCGAGTACGCACGAACCAGATACACTCAGACATTCGCAATCTGTATAATGGTATTCCGCAAGGATCCCCATTATCAGTTATCCTATTTCTAATAGCATTTAACAGCATAGCTGACATCATAGAGAAACACAAAAACCTTAAATTCACGGCTTATGCGGATGATTTCAATATACTTATTGACCTAAAAAGAGGAAAATCCCTAAGACCCAATCTAGACACTCTTTTCACTGAAATAAACAACTGGTGCTCAATTTCCGGCGCGTCACTATCCTTAAATAAATGCAACCACATTCATATATGTAGAAAAATCAACTGCAAATGCAAAATAGACATAAGCTCATGCGTGATCAAAACATCTAAAGAAATAACCATTCTAGGACTAACCATTAACTCAAAATACAGGTGGAACTCCCACATTAATAAACTAAAAAAGTCACTGTCTAAACCGTTAAACATAATTAAATGTCTGTCAAACTATAAGTACAATTGTCACCCATGCACCCTAGTCCAAATAGCAAAAAGTCTATGCATTTCAAAAATAGAATACGCCCTACCAATATACGGTAACGCCCCAAAGTCTACTTTAAGGCCAATTAAGACTTACATGAACTCAGCTCTGCGCTCTGCGTTAGGAGCATTTTACTCCACACCAACCCACAACCTCTACCTCGAGGCGAATGTATGCCCACTGGAAAACAAAATCCTATTTGCAAAAGCCAAACTTTTCAACACAATAGTACTCTCCCATGACACCCCCTTAATTCATTAGCGAAAAAAATTATAAATAAACACAATAAAAAATACAAGAACTCAGTGCTCCAAGACTGCATCAACATTTGCTCCAATCTTAACCTAACAATTACATTAGCTAAAAAACTACCTAAAGCCAATCCACCATGGCACATTAATCCCGACACAATAGACACCCACCTTAATAAAAATGAAAAATCAATTACCCCAAAGGAGGTATTTTTAAAAGAATTTTTGAAACTAAAAAACAAATTAAAAGACTATACCCTTATATACACAGACGGATCTTTATCAAAAGAAATAATCGGCTATGCAATAACAACAGAGAGCTCAATCTTAAAACTGGGAGTACTCCCGGAGTACTCTTCAGTGTATACAGCCGAAGCTATAGCAATTCTTGAAGCGATCAAGATATCCTTAAAAGTGAGAGGGAAAACATGCATTTGCACTGATTCCCTATCGGTAGTTGAAGGCATAAAAAACATAGAAAATTCTACACATATGATCTCCCAAATTCGAAGTCTGCTAATAAACAACTTTCCAAAAATTAAAATACTGTGGATACCAAGTCACGTAGGTATAACAGGAAATGAATTTGCCGATGAAGCTGCTAAAGCAGCCACGATTTCCCCCTTAATAGCATCACCAAACATAAATAAATCAGACATAAACAGATATTTAAAATCAACACTCCTAAATTTTTCTTCACACCTGCTTAATCAAACTTCTACCTGGTACCAAACGTATAATGACGGCCAACTCAATATTGCCCACTACACAAAAAACACTTTCTTTGCCAGGCTGACAAGAACTGAACAAATCAAACTTATACGGTTACGACTTGGTCATACTAAGCTGACCCATGCAAATAGATTCCTTCAACCTCCTTCCAACCAATGCCAATTCTGCAACAACCCTGACACATCAATCAAACATATTTTAAACGAATGCCCATCGTTTCAAAACATTAGACCCTCAACACCGAACTCCGATCTCATTCCTCTATTAACTAACCCAAAACCGGAAAACCTACTTATCATTCTTACTTTCCTTAAAAAAGCCAACTTACTTAATCGCCTTTAAGATATACTTCTTATCAACATATACCTATTATACCTATTATTACTAAAATCAAATGTTAATCTTAAGACTACTATATTACCCATTATATCAATTGTCATTTAATTAAACGTTAAATGCTAAACGTTCTAGATAATAAGATGGAAAATTTATGAAACGTTAATCAGCCGAAAGCCACAGCAGCTATGGCTGTCATCCCCTACGGTAGCTTAATTTTGTAAAATAAGCATACCCTGTACAAATAAATAAATTTTACACCGTATTTAAATCACATTTTGCAGCTGTGCGGATACCTGGGAAAGGGTATCACATCCCGGATGTTCTTAACGCCCGTGATGAGCTGCAAGTAACGCTCAAAGCCCATGCCGAATCCTCCGGTGGGAATTCCTCCGTACTTTCGCAGGTCAACGTACCAAGAAAGATCCTTTGGCAGTTGCGGATGGGATTTTAATATCGCTGGATCACTTTCACGCAGACTTCCGCCGCATAATTCGCCAACGGCTGGCATCAGGAGGTCCAAAGCATGAACCCTATTTGGATTCGTTCGGGAGACTTTCATGTAGAAGGGTTTTTGCTGAGCAGGCCAATCCACAACGAAAACGGGAGCAGCACAGTGCGCCACTAGAAACAGTTCCTGGTCCTTGGAGAAGCCCTCATTCAGGCTTATGGGAGTCTTTAGGCTATCCTTGTTTTCCTGCAGAACCTGCAAAGCTTCGTCGTAACTCATTATCTTCCAGGGAACTTGTAACCAAGGCAAATCAGAGCTGGAGTTCGAGTTCTTCTGACAGAAACGGAGATCCTCGGGGCTCGTTTCCAGCAGGCGGTTTGTCACAGCCTTTAGCATCTGCTCAATGAACCCCGCCAACTTCTCCAAATCTTCCAAATGGGCCAACTCCGCTTCGAACATGTAGAACTCGGCCAAATGCAGTGGCGACTTGGAGTTCTCCGCTCGGAAGGCTGGCGAGAGGGTGTATGTATTGCCCAGGCCGTAGGTCATGGCCTCCAGGTGCAGCTGCCCGGAGACGCTGAGGAATACCTTGCCATCGAAGTAGCTCTGCTCCACGGGAACATTTGGCCTGGCCATCTGCTTGAGCAGAGCTTCCGAGTCCGGCTGAACCCGGAACACCTCCCCCGCTCCCTCGCAATCGTTGGTGGTCAGCAGGGGAGTGTTGATCTGCACGAAATCCAGCTCATCCATGTGGTCGTGAATGGCTTTCTGGGCCTTGTGCCTGATCCTCATCTGGGCGGCCACGAAATCGACGCGGGAACGGAGATGCAAGTGCTCGCGGACATATTCCGGTGGATGTTTCTGCTTGGGGCTGAAGGGATAGCCATCCTGCAGGTGTCCTTCAGCTGGGGAAGGCAGATTTAGCTTTAGAGGATTCTTTAATCCTGGGTTTACCATGAGTTACCCAACATTTCCACCCGATCCGCATGCAACTCAAAGCTGCCATTCGGGGACACTTGGATTTGACCCACCGCCGAGATGACGCTGCCCGGAGCTAGATGCTGATTCTCCGGAGTCCTGGGCACCACCACCTGGAATCTGCTGCTCGTGGATCCATCATTCACGTCCAGAAATGTGTTGTTCTTCAGCCGGCGTACGTTTTTGATCCAGCCCTTTTGGGAGAGCCAGTTACTGAATGAGCAAGGTGTCTAATCTATTAGCTATCTATCCCACCTGCACGCTGAAAGGGTCTCCTGGCTTCTTCGACCTGGATATCTGGGCTATACGTCCGGATTTGCTGTAAAATCGCCGCAGGAATAACATCTTTATTTCTATTTGGATTCCGCTTGCAGCCAGCGTTGCCAGACCTATCAAAGTGCTCTGGCTTTGGCATATTCAAACGACCGCGCAACGGTCATACTTACGATTCGTCACAAAAAAAAAGCGCTTGTAAAATAAATTCCAGTTTTATTAGTTTTTAATGAAATAGCTTTTTAAAAATGTCTGAATTGGACGCAGAGACCGTGCTGCTGAGCATTTTGCTTTTGGTTGTTATCGAGAATGCGCTGGAGATTTACATTTCGCTGCGGCAGGTGAGTTTTCCTTTCCCGAGGTGCCGGCTCGTTGGAGCGAGATGGCGACACTGGGCGAGGAATTTTATCAATGCGAATTGCGAATGATAAATTTAGAGTCGCAAATGTTAATTGGCCTGCTTCCCCTTTCTCTCTCCGCCGTCGCCGCCAGGTGAAAGTGTACCGCACTGCACTGAAGGTGCCCGCCGAGCTGACGTCACACATGGGCGAGGAGACGTTCCATAAGGCGCGAAAGTATGGCCTCGACCAGGAGAACTTCGGCATCTTCAAGGCCGTGGTCATGGATGTGGGCCTGCTCTGCATGGAGCTGTACATCGGCCTGATCGCCCTCCTGTGGCAGCTGTCCGTCGAGGTGGTGGACAAGCTGCAGTGGGACTCCAAGAACGAGATCATCGTCAGCTGCGTCTTCGTCCTGATCTCGAATGTCCTGAGCACCTTCAAGGGGCTGCCCTTCAAGATCTACAAGATATTCGTGCTGGAGGAGACGCACGGCTTCAACAAGCAGACGGCGCGCTTCTTCGCCTGGGATCAGCTGAAGGGCTTCCTGGTCACCCAGGTGCTCATGATTCCCATCACGGCGGCCATTATCTTCATTGTCCAGCGTGGCGGCGACAATTTCTTCATCTGGCTGTGGATCTTCACGGGCGTCATTTCGCTGGTTCTGCTCACCCTGTATCCGATCTTCATCGCTCCCCTGTTCGACAAGTATACGCCGCTGGAGAAGGGTGTTCTGCGGCAGTCCATCGAGGATCTTGCCGCCTCGCTGAAGTTCCCGCTTACCAAGCTGTTCGTGGTCGAGGGTTCCAAGCGCTCGTCGCACAGCAATGCCTACTTCTATGGCCTCTGGAACTCGAAGCGGATTGTGCTCTTCGACACGCTGCTGCTGAACAAGGGTAAATCCGATGACTCGGAGTTGTCTGAGGAGGAAAAGGGCAAGGGCTGCACGGACGAGGAAGTGCTGGCTGTTTTGGGACACGAGCTGGGTCACTGGAAACTGGGACACGTCACCAAGAACATCGTTATCATGCAGGTCCATCTCTTCCTGATGTTCCTGGTCTTTGGCTATGTCTTCAAGTACCCACCCTTCTACGTGGCCATGGGATTCCAGCCCGGCACTCGCCCGATTCTCGTGGGATTGCTCATTGTTTTCACCTATGTCCTGGCTCCGTATAACGCTTTAATGAACTTTGCCATGACGATTCTGTCGCGTCGCTTTGAGTACCAGGCCGATGAGTTCGCTTTCAAGCTCGGATTCGCCGAGCAGTTGGGCCAGGCTCTCATCAAACTAAACGTGGACAACCTTGGCTTTCCGGTCTACGATTGGCTCTACTCCACCTGGAACCACTCGCATCCCACTCTGCTCCAGCGGCTGAATCGGCTGAAGGAGCTCAAGGAGGAGAAGAAGCTGAACTAGGAGCGCAGACATCACTCAAGACCAAAGTTTACACTGTTCCCTTTGTTTTAACGTACAAGTAATAAAGTCCGGGGACTAACCCCAATAAAATATTCCAGGTTTTGTATTAAAGATCGATTTATGTAGAGATAATTTGCAAGCTTTGATTTCAAACATGTAAACTGGTAGTTTAAAATCCGTCAGTCAGAACCTACCCGAAAATGATTCCCTAACGGAGCTTAAAAATTGTATAAAATATGCCTAAAATGTCAACATGTCTGCATACTTCTGGGATGATCCAAGAGCCATACTCTTTATAATCATTGCTTTTCTGGTTCTGGACAATCTCTGGGCCGTTTATCTTCTGCTGCGAGACGTAAGTTACAAGGATATCTCTTATTACTATTTAACTGAATTAATTTCTCTTTTCAGATACTTTTGACCTACAAAACGAACCGAGTTCCCAGTGTTATTAGCCCCTATTTGCCGCAGGAACTCTATGACAAGATGCGCGTTTACAAGATACACAAGGGCTGGCTGACTATTGTGAATACCCTGCTCACGGTGGTCATAATGGGTGTGCTTGAGCTCTACTTCGGTTTCTACGCCTGGCTGTATGGAATGGCCGGCAAATGCGCCATGGCCAAGTGGATGGAGCACGAGGCCTGCGTCTCCGTGATCTTCGTGCTCTTCCTGAGCGTTTACTTCTCGCTTAAGAATGTCCCTGCCATGATTTACGAGAAATGTTGCATCAAGAGCTTGCAGCCCAGGGCAAAAGTATCGTGGTGGTTTCGCATCTGCCACTTTGTCGTTGACCTGCTGCTGGGAACGGCAGTTACCATCGCGGTGGTGGTTGCCCTGGTTTACATGTTCATCGGCCTGGGGCCCTATGCTCCGCTGGGCTTGTACCTTCAATCGCTGATCTTCACGCTCATCTTGCTCCTGCTGATTCCCTTTCTGATCGATCCCTTTGTGGGCAAGCGTGTGCGGCTGGAAAACTCGAATTTGCTCACCCAACTGGAGTATCTAACGCGGCAGGTGGGCTTTCCCATGAGCCAGGTGCGCATCATCCGGGTGCATGACCCCAATATGGGCAGCAATGCCTTTTTCTACGGCTGCTGCTGCCTCAAGAGAATCGTGATCTTCGACACCCTGCTGCTGAACAGGGGCAAGCAAGATCTCAGCCAGCTGTCGCCGGAGGAGTTGGGCAGGGGACTGACGGATGCGCAGGTTACGGCTGTTGTGGCCCACGAACTGGGTCACTGGAGGAATGGACACTTCTACAAGGCGATCTTGGCCTTCCAACTTCATCTCATACTGACGCTCGTGCTCTTTGCCTTCATGTTTGCCCATGGACCCATCTACCAGGCGGTGGGATTGGCTCCTGGTTTGCAGCCCATTGTCATCGGATGCCTGATAATCTTCGGCTTCGTACTCACTCCCTACATGACGCTGGCCAACTTCAGCATGCTGAGCATGACGCGCTGCTTTGAGTACCAGGCGGATCGGTTTGCCCACCGCCTGGGCTACGCCGGGGAACTCCGCCAGGCGCTGCTCAAGTTGTATGCGGATAATATGGCATTCCCCGTCTCGGATCCCTGCTACTCCAGCTGGAACCACACGCATCCCACCATGCTGGATCGCCTGGATCGTCTGGAGGAGATTCGGCGTTAGGCGATACATATTTTTTCCCGGTTTCTTTTTTCAAACATAGTAGGTTCTGATTGAATTATCCGGCCTGGGTAATATAGATATATCTATTTTGCAACCGCTGCTGTTGTTTGTTGGGGGAACATGATAAGTTTTGATGGCATTCTACGATACATGGCCAAAGGTAGATCCAATCATCGTGCTGGTGATCTTATGTCTGATCGTGTTAGCTGACCGGATATGGGAGATGATACTCACCAAGAGACAGGTAAGTGGGAATGAATTCTCTTCAGATTTAATCCTGAATTTCTATCCCCAGCAATTGGTGTGCCTGAACTCCATCATGGTGCCGGAGGAGCTGAGGGGAATCATTCCTCCGGAAATTTACCATCGTGCTCGGATCTACGAGCTGCACAAAACGGAGCTCCAGCTGTGGAAGTACCTCATTGACCTGATCATTTCGCTTTGTGAGCTGATCTTAGGATTTTATCCCTTTCTTTGGAGCCTGGCTGCCATGACCCTGGCATCGGTTACCTCCGAGGAGATCTGGATCAGCATGATTTTCGTGTTCTACCTGACCATCTATATATGTGTAAGGTTTCTGCCCGTGCTGATCTATGACAAATGCCTGCTGGAGCTGCGCTATGGGATGTCTGGGAAGTTTCCCTGGTACCTCTACTGCTGCATTGGCCTCCTGGCCATTCTCCTCAGCCAGGTGGTCCTGATCCCATTGGCGGGCGCCATAGTTATGAGCGTCAAGTGCATCGGCTACTACTTCTTCCTGTGGTTCTGGCTCTTCTGGGCCATCTTCACCCTGCTGTTGGTCTTCTTTCTGCCCTACTGCTGTATTCCGTGCATCGGACGACAGGTTGTCCTGCCGGAGGGCACTACCCTTTATGTGGAGGTGAAGCGGGTCTGCGACGTGGTTGGCTTTCCCATGAAACGTGTGTTCATTATCAAGACCCGGACAATGCAGTACAGCAATGCCTACTTCTACGGGAGCTGCTGTCTCAAGAGGATCGTGATCTTTGACACCTTGCTGCTGAACAAGGGAAAGGAAGCCAGTGAGATCCAACCATATGAGGTGGGACGCGGGCTGACCAACATGCAGGTGGCGGGAGTGGTTTGCCATGAGTTGGGTCACTGGAAGCACGGACATTTCTACAAGGCCACGATCATCATGAAGATTCACTTCTTCCTCACAATGGGACTATTTGGACTGTTCTTTCACAGCCCGCAGCTGTACATGGCAGTGGGTTTCGCACCCGGAGTAATGCCCATCATAGTGGGCTTCATCATTGTCCTGAGATTCGCCCTGACTCCGTATCTCACGCTGGCCAATGTCCTGATGCTGTGGAACCTGCGTCGCTTTGAGTATGCCGCCGATAGCTTTGCCCATCGCATGGGCTACTCGATTCAATTGAGGATGGCCCTGGTCAAAATCTATGCGGATCACATGAGCTTCCCGGTCTACGACAACTGGTATGCCTGCTGGCATCACACGCATCCCACGATTCTTCAGAGACTCGCTTACCAGCAGAAATTGGATGTCAAAGCCATGAAAGCTGGATTCCAGAACTCCTAGTAGTCTTCGCCTGTTACTTCATTTTCTTTGTATGTTTTCGAGATATCTTGTTAAATTGCCCGTATGACTATAACAAAAATTGCTACGCCCCGCTGTGGGACTATTGCCAAATTGGTGGTCAGCATCGACAGCGGGTGAGTTGAGAAAATATTAAGGAGGCGAAATAATGTGGAGGATCGATCACGGGAAGTCCTCAAGCTCTGATGTGACCCTCCGCCTTTCTTCTCTTCTGTACTATCTAACATCTAAACCTAATGTCTTCCATGTGAATAAAATTGTTCAAGTTAATTTGTGTGTGTTTTCTGATTGCTTTTCAAAATGTTTAGAGGATTAAACAGTTTTTACAATATACAATTTTAAGATAAGTAATACCTACCTTAGTGTAAAATAGTGAATGATGTATTAAAAAAAGTTTTTTACATTTTTAATTGATTTATCACAACATTTGGTTAAATATAAAAAATAATAATAAAATAAATATATTAAGCTTTTAATTAAGTAAATAAAATAAAATCCTTTAGCGAGACCTTCATTACCTATGCAGATGCCACAAAGCGATCTTTCTGCGCGAATCCCTCCTGGCTGAACTTCCAAAATGGGATGATGGAGCTCTGTCCGATGAGTGAACCGAATCCCCATGACTATCCAAAGGAGGTGGGCGCCTTCCTGGAGCGACATTTCGGAAGAAACACCCAAATCCACGCTTCAATGGCAACTCATCAGCGGCTTGCCTCCATTAATTTGAACGTAAGGAGCAGTGAAGTGAATTTCCAGGACACAGATGCTGTTATCTGGCACACCTGGCTGGTGGAGAAGGAGAGGTTTCCACCAGCTCAGTGTGCGGTCATCAAGGAATGGAAGGATCCCTTCACGGAAACTCTGGGGAGTTGCTATTGTTCCTGGCATTTGCAAAATTGCATGGCCTGGCAGCTTAAAATCAGCAATAAAATGACGGAGGCCAAGTGGTAACTATATCATAGGTAAATTTCGAACATTTATTGACAGAACTCCACTTTAGTTTCTGCTTGCGGATCAAGAAAACCATGGATATTGCCAGCAAACTCGTAGAATCGGAATGGGAACCGGATGAATCGATGTTTCCCGCGTTGAACGAAAAAGTTGTAAGTGCCACCGATATGCTCAAGAAACTGAACGACCTCCTCGAGCTCCAGAAGAAACGCAACCGATGCTACAAACGCCTCTATAAGGAACAGGAAAAGCCAAAGACCGCGATTGGAGTGCTGACCCCTTGATGTCTGCATAGATTGTATTTACTTTATTAAAACATTTCTGTCGTATTTTCATAGTATTAGACATATATCCAGTTAGATATTCGATATTTGGTATCTGGTTGTATATATATAGAGAAAGTCAGTTTCGAAGCTTTACATGCATGTGGTTTTGAACAATATCTTAGGATTAGCATAAGTATGTTATCATATAGAGTTGTATCGTAATTAGTTTATTTATATGTTAAGTTGGCATTTTGTTGCATGTACGGGTGTGTACAATCGTTTTTACTCAGGGTTTCACCTTTAAAGCCCCCTCGAAATGGGTTTTCAGTTAATCCATTTCATATCTAAAGTTCTAAAAGTGAATCCTTGGGTAAACTCCGTCTCAAGATTGTACCAGTTTGTCTTGGTTTTAAAGCTTAAGTTATTAATTGTTAGTTTTTGAAAGAATAGATTGAAAACAGCTTGGGAACGGCAAGGAAAGGAACTGAAACAAGTCATAATTTATATAGCTATAGCACCTTGAAAAACGTTAGATAGTTCATAGCGTTGTAGGTTAACTTTAAGTTTTCGTTTAAGTTTAGTTACCGATTTGCCTAAGCAGCGAAATTGAGTGGAATTGTTGCCAGCTGGCCTCAATCTGCACCTCGTAATCTCCCCTTGCACAGACCCTCGGGCGGAAAATACAAGGACGAGTGTCTAATGTTAACCAGATGCATTTCCACCCTTCAGCGTGACAGCGTCACGTTCAGGTGGGAGATGCATTTGCATTTCCATTCATCTGCATTAGTAGCGTCCACCCTCGGGCTGTTGCAAGTGGCTCTTGATTGATTGATTGATGTTTGCGGGAGATATATATAGTCAAAGTACGTGTGGCTGGGTGCAGAATGCACACCCACACGTCGAGTACTGGAAAGAAATACTTTTTACGCTGCCGCATTAAGGGATACAGTCACAATTATTAACAACAATTATCTACAGATTGTAGCCACACATATGTTTATGCTTAGGTAATCTCAAATAAATCTTGTATCCTTAATATATAACTACTTTTATTCAAGTTTTAATTGGTAATTAAATAAAATACTTTATGCAAATACACATAGAAAATATAAATACATATATAATATAATATAATATAAAATCGATGTACTGATCTTGATGTTATCATTTCTTAATTGTTTACTTTAAGTGGCTCGATTCAGTGTTGCAAATAGTTTGATTGGATTAATTTCCGATTTGGTTTGACTTTGGGGGAAATATACTCTCAACATCTTAACGTACGATAAACATTTATTTAAGATTGAAACATTTATATTAGATTTATGCTACCAATAGCTTCTCGTTTCGGTTTGGATCTCTGTTCGCTCAGGATCCTCCCCCGATACCAAAATCATTTTTTTGTTTGCTGCCCCTTGGATGCAGCTTTAAAGTAAACAATTGCCTCGAAGCCCTCGTTGGCCTCTTTTTTCTGGATTTCCCTCAATCGGGTGACAAAAATAGAGTTGGCTAAAATCTCGTTTTGGTATGTTTTTCAGCCCACGGCTTACTCTTCGTCGTCGGGCGATATCTTGGCCAGTGTCAGCAGGATCATGGTGAGTTCCTTGCGGGAGATCTTTCCATGCTTGTCGGTGCCAACTCCCCGCATGATGGTCTCCTCGAAAGCAGCCAGATCCTGGGCATCGTAGTCGTCCTGTAAACAAGAGAATAGTAAAATCTTACATTCTAACCTTTTAAGGGTACCCACCTTCTTGACCAGCTCCAAAAGGTCCTTGAGGAAGCCCTTGAGCTCCTCATTTTCAATGGTGCCGCTGTTGTCCTGTGTTGATATTAATACGTTTTATAGTTTTATGATTTTTATTCCATATATTTATAGGTCTTAAGTTAATTAGTTTACTTACACGATCGTAGAGCGAGAATACTTTTTCAATATCTTCTTTGGTCAACTTTGTAGCGCCCTGTGGAAATAAAATTGTAGTAATTAGTGCGATATTTTCTTAGAAACTCGTTTATATACCAATTTCACATTAATGTTTATTTATAAGTTTGGGGTACAAGCTAGATTTGGCATACTTTTTTCTTCCCGAGTGAAGTCAACAAAAGTTTTTAATTAATAGTTGAAAAAGAAATAAAAATGTGATGGAGGAAATTTAACAGAAAAGTCTGAAGGTTAGATTTAAAAGAGTTGAAATCAAATCAAAAAGTGTTGATAAAATTTAATTTTTAAGACTTTAAAGTATGCTAAATCCACTGTCAAAGTGAATCAAGTTTGTGTACAGCAAGGATAATAGGTTGTGGGTTAAAACATACTGCTGAGATTATCCTGCAACTTTTCGAATAATAAAATATTTTTTCCCTATAACATCATTGACCTAAGCTACAGGTCGAGTGTGTCTTTTTGTGCGATTTTGTTTTTGATTGATTAAATACAAAGCGCCAAAGGCCTGAACTCATGCAAAGTATGGGCAATTATAATAAAAACATGCATTTAGGAATTTAATGACAAACGACAAGTCATGCTTAGGAGCATCCCAGGGGAATGGAATATATAATATGCCAGGGATAAAAAGGTATTCCATATTCACACTCATTCGTTATACTTATGGCTAAAGCCTAATTAAGCCAAATGAAACACACAGCCAATTAATTTATGCGTTTTCTGCTGTTGACATTCGCTAATTAATATGAATTATGGTTCAGGTACAGCAGATTTGTCTTTGGCATTCGCCGCTCTCATTTGGGATTGCACCGGATGTGTTTTCCTCGAGAGAACACGAAATTTATTGATTCCATTTGCGCCCGGCAAATTGCTCGAATTATTTTCCCCTACATGTAAGCCCACCTTTTACATACACACACACAGTCACATGCAGTTTGTAATTTTGGGGGTTATGCAATGTGGCCAAGGTGGCGCCTCAAGTTCAAAAGTTTTCAGCGCTGCACTGAGGAAAATTCATAGCTTTAACAAAAAGATAAATTTCTATTCAAGGTTATTTATTTAAGGTTTAGAAAATCAATTTCGAGCTCAACGAGGAATGTCTCAGTTTATTGTAAATGAATGCCTAATAGTATGCAATGATTTAAATTTATTTTCTCAAATTATTTTAAAGTTTGTTCGATATTTTCTAAAAGTTTAATTATGATATATTCGATTTTTCCCAGTGCGTTTAAGGTGCGAGCGAAAAGCTGCGAGGTGGAACTTAAGGTTTTGTTTTCTTTATCCTTGGGAAAGTCTGATAACATTTGTTTTACTGGCGCCATGAAAACGCAGTTGGCGCATTCTTTTTGCGTTCTTAACGGGATTAGAAACCCATTAAGTGGAAACCCTTTTCAGCTTAAGCTTTAAAAAATGTGCTTAGCCGGGCGTTATAAATTGTGAGCCAGTTTCCACTTAGCGGTAGCAAAGCTCCCAAAATTGAATTTCACACGAACACGGTAATATATATTTTTCTCGGCTTTTTTTTGGGGCCTGGCTCTTTGTCAAATTGCTCATACTTAAGTCGAATTGCGCCTTGAACGTGATGTGATGTGATGTTGCCCATGCCCACACATTGATGAAATGAAGTAATTATTTTACACTTCAACACTTTGAAAAGCCGGTGGCACCGAGCGTGTCAGCCTGCGGCTGCCATTATCCATATGGTACCGCCACAAAATATATCCATGCCTTTGCACACCGCACCCCGCACCCAGGATGCCGAGCCGAATGACTAAATTATGCAAAAGGTTCCCATGGAGGAGGAGACGGAATTCCGCATCAACGTGTAATTTGCGTGGACCTCACATCGTTAGGGCCAAAGCTGTTCACGTACTTGGGCTCAGGATGTGTTAAGTGGGAAATGGGGTGAACCGATGCCATCAAAAGTCTAATTAGTAGCTCGTAGCTATCGTTCTCATTCTCTTGGTGCAAGTTGCCCTGTGGTTGGGGTCGCATTTGTAAGTTGAGAAAGGTTTTGGGGCAATGATCCCAAAAATGGGCAAATTACTCAAACTTTTACTGGCACAAAGTTTAGTTTCTTATCGCTAATAAGCAGTAAGTTTTTATTAATCACCAGAAGAAGATCAGGAATTATTTGGTTATGAGTAATCATCGCAGAAACCTTTAAAAATTAAAATATGAAGCTGATAAATATCAGTTGTCTAAAATTTTTACACCGGATTTCCGTTTTTGCTGCATACTTTAAGGCAGCTTTTTAGGTATTTTAAAGCTTACCAGAAACCTCATAAATATTTAAAAATGTACACTATGATTTACTTCAATGCATATCAATACCAAAAGATTCTAAGAAAATATCATTCACACCTAAAAACAACAAATAAGCCACACAAACATGCAATTCTGTCCGTAAACAAGATTTTGTCAAGCCAATCCAAAGCATTTTTGTTGGTTTTCTGTGTCTCAATTTCTTGTTTGCTAAACTGAATGGGAAAACAAGGCAACTACAATAAAATAATAGTAAAATCAATTGGAATACTTGAGTTCCCGTCAAGTGTGAAACAAAAAACGATTGTTTAAAAAAACATAACGCAAATTACAAATTGATACAGTTTTATTGAGAGTTTTAATGGGCCACCAGTGTATTTAATTGTTATTATACCCACATGAAGTATTTCTTTTTTGTTTGAGGGGCACTTTTATTTTTTGTTGTTCGAATGCTTGATGAGGGGGTGAAAGATACTTACATCAATGCCCTCCTTTAGTGTGTGGTTTTTATATATATAAGTTTTTTATGTTATTTATTTCATTTCATTCGGTTTGGTTTCGGTTTTGTTTGCAGGAATGTAAATAGTTTGTGTATTGTTTTACGAAATATTTTGGTTTGTTTTCATTGTTGGCAGTGCAATTGGTTGCAGATTGTTGTATGCAAATTTTTGTATATACAGCAGATGGCAAAAGGTTTTGATTTGCGGTAATTGTTTAGTTATTTCAGAGTTGATTTTCAAATTGCATTTGTGAGATAAGTCGGAAGTTAATGGTGGCAGCCCAAAATGTTGTACACCACGTGCACGGTATAATTAGGTTCGTAATTGTTATTTTTAGTTCGATTATTGTTATGTTGTTGGTT